CGTTTTAGGTGCGGACTCTTCTTGTAGGCATCGCGGCGTGTCATGTATATTCACGGTCCATCATAAACTGAGTATTCGCCACAAAAATTGGGCGAGCACTCTTCCATACATGCCGTTGGGAACTGAAACCGGGCACGTAGGGAAGAAGAAAAAAAAAGGAAGAGAAGGAGGTGCACCTTAGGGGATATGCTGCGTTCCGATGAACTTTTCCGACGACGTTGGAGGAGTGGAAACACCCTTCCTTGCATGCCCCGTTTCAGTCTTGGCACCGCCCGTGCCTCACCAAGAAATGTCTCTCAGAACCCCCCGTATGCTTCGTCCCGCTCTAGCTAGATTTCTCTATAAAAAACACGAACGCTTCAATGGCGAAGCGAACGTGCAAATCAAACTCCTCGAGTCACGGGGCACGCGGGTGTCACCCGACTTCTTGTGCACCGCGGTGAATCGAATGCTGCGAATTGACAGCGAATCAAGCGCACATGTGCTCTCCTAAGCGCTATCTGAAAGGACAGAGGACAACGGATGGCAGAGGACAACGAAGTGACGAGCCTGAGCATCCACCACCGTTCCTCGGAGGAAGACGGCGTTGAGTCGTCCACAAATCTCTAAATTAGTAAAATTAGTTTATTCTAACCATTCTATAATTCTTCAGATACACAACCAATATGTGATCCCTTCCATCTAATTATTCGTTTCTCAGCCAGTATCGCAGCATGGGTGTGAACCATACATAGAGGTCATCGTCATCATCACCGGCCTTTTTTATCTGTCAATATAGACCTTGCTTTTCCATGTCACACCATGGTCCTGTGTTCTGTTATTTCCACGTTGCAACAATATATACACGCACATGCACAAACACACGAGCCCCGCCTCCCTCGCCCCCTGAAGCCTGCTCCCCTGGTCGGCAGCCACCATAGGGCAGTCAGTATGTATATATATATATATATATATATATATATATATATATATATATATATATATATATATATATAATATATATATATATATATATATATATATATATATATATATATATATATATATATATATATATATATATATATATATATATATATATATATATATATATACAATATATATATATATATATATATATATATATATATATATATATATACACACACACACACACTCAGTATATATATATATATATATATATATATATATATATACTGAGTGTGTGTGTGTGTGTGTGTGTAGTGGGGTGAAATTCAAGGGATCCGGTGGAAAATGCGGTAGAAAAATAGGTCGGCAAACGTGCGAAAACAAAAGTTTTACTAACGTTTCGGCAGGTGGGCCTGCTGAAACGCTAGTGTCCATTAGGATTCACTCCGACGAAGGCAGGCCCACCTGCCGAAACGTTAGTAAAACTTGTGTTTTCGCACGTCTGTTGAACTATATATATATATATATATATATATATATATATATATATATATCCACCATTCAGTTAGCTTCCTCCTGGTTATTTCTACCCGTTTAAAGTCTATTTTGCCTTCACTGTCCCTAAACCCCAATGCTTTGAAAAATTCAGCGCCATTATTTTCGACTATAGGGAGGAGCCCTTTAAATACCATTATCAAATGGTCAGCCGTTTCCTCCTCCTCCTTTCTACACGCACTGCATACCGTGTCTGTGCCTTCGTATTTTGCGCGGTACGTCTTGGTCCGCAATACTTCCGTTCTAGCCTCGAAGAGCAGAGAACTACCCCGAGAATTATCGTAGATATTTTCCCTTGCAATTTAGTGGTTAAAAGTTCGGTAGGTCTCAAGTGATGATTTCTTAAGCATTTCGATCACCCACATGTCCCTCTCTGTTTCCTTCACCCTCTTCTTAATCGATGTTTCTTTTTGACATGGTATTCTGCTGTTGTTTAAATACTTGCTTGACAATTTTTGAGTTCGTTTCCTCTATTTAGTATCGACATTCTTCATGTACAAGCAACTGAAAACTTTTTTAGCCCAACGCTCCTCTCCCATTCTTCTCAATCGCTCCTCGAATTCCATCTTGCTGCTAGCTTCCCTGCACTCAAACGATGTCCATCCCATGTCTCCCTGTACCCCCTGATTTGGTGTATTCCCGTATTCTTCCAAAGCAAGTCTACCTATGCCACGTTGTTTAATTTCCAATGTTGCTTGAACTTTTGATTTCATGCGCAAGACCGCATTGCCGAACGTCAAACCCGGGACCATGACACCTTTTAAAATCGCTCTCACAACGTCATACCTATTGTAGTTCCACAGTGCCCTATTTTTCATTACAGCTGCATTCCTGGTGCCCTTAGTCATTACGTATCTTTCGAGCTTAGATACTCAGCCCCCTTATTTACCCATACGCCGAAGTATCTGTATTTATCCACTATTTCTAGCGTGACTTCCTGTATCATATGATCACTGCCTTTGTTATCATTAAAAATCATGATTGCCGATTTTTCCCTGCTGAACTTCAAATTTAACCTATCTCCCTATTAACACAGGTGTCTATCAATCCCTGCAGATCTTCCTTGTCGGCTATTAATACTATATCATCTGCATACATCAATGCTGGTAATGACAGTTCAATGTGTTTTCCTTGCTTGGTAAAAGAGAGGCTGAATCCAAGTCGACTCCCTTCTAATTTGGCTTCTAGTCCCTGAAAATAAAGCATAAATAACAAAGGTGACAAGAGACATCACTGTCGAAGCCCGTGTTGTATCTCTATAGGTTCAAGTACCTGTTCTTCTCATTTAATAACTACCTGGCTACTTTTATAGATATCCTTTAGAAGATTAGTTATTGATTGATATGTGGGGTTTAACGTCCCAAAACCACCATATGATTATGAGAGACGCCGTAGTGGAGGGCTCCGGAAATTTCGACCACCTGGGGTTCTTTAACGTGCACCCAAATCTGAGCACACGGGCCTACAACATTTCCGCCTCCATCGAAAATGCAGCCGCCGCAGCCGGGAATCGAACCCGCGACCTGCGGGTCAGCAGCCGAGTACATCTTCCACATCTAGTGTGTCTAGTATTCCCCACAAGTCTTTTTGAATCACTCTATCGTAAGCTCCCTTGATATCTAGAAATGCCAGCCACAGAGGCCTGTGTGTTTTTTTTTTTTTTTACGCTATTTCAATACACTGCATCAATGAAAGCAGATTGTTCTCCAACCTCCTTCGTTTACGGAACCCATTTTGTAGGTTTCCCAGCACCCCCTCATTCTCCGCCCATGTCTGTAGTCTTTCCTTTACCATCTGCATCACCAGCCTGCCAACCAATTAAACTACCCCTAATGCCACCTGGCGCAAAGAGTCGGTAACTTAACACAGCACTCATGACCCGCGAATTCTAAAAAAAAAAAAAAACGCTATGATGTAAAAAGCCTGCGATTGGTTATGTTGGATTCGGTAGTTTGTTGAAAGTCACGGCATCGTTCTGTTTTGTACTTTTTACAGTGCGTTACCATGCACCACATTCGCCATGACTTCAATGATGGTACGCGTTCCCGAAAACTCGGGAGCGCATGTCGTCTCGGAACCATGGATTGTCCGCAGTCAGCCGCTTTACTTGTCATTGATGCCAAAATATGTATTGCGCCTATAATAACTAAATGTTCTTTGAACAAATATTCTCACCGTTTGTTGTGTTTGTGTGATCTATTTTATTGCATATTTTTGTTTATTATTTTGTTTGTATAACCCACCCTCCACTGTAACGTATGCGCTCTGAGGGTAACGTAAATACATTGACAACTTGAGATAGAAAAATAAACGTTTATTTAGAAACAGCGTTCCGAGCGAGGCCCGGTATCACCCTAAGGTGGGAGGGTTCCCTAGTCCAGGAGCCCTCTGGCTTCGACTGCCCTCTTGGATCTGGCGACGAGTTGTCGCGTGTCTTCCAGGTCCTTGAGGACGAGCTTGGCCTCTCACGTTTCCATTAGGTGGTCGTCGTTTATTCTTGGGGCTTGGTCCCGCTCCAGTTGCACGTCGTGGTTTGCATGGCACTGGCATTCCAGGAGCAAGTGGGCCAGGGTGTCTGGTACGCTGCAGAGCGGTCACATGCAGCCATGTGTCGTTGGGTAGAGGCGGCACATTAATATGCCATGTATGCAAATGTTGCTTTGTAGGCGTCTGAAAATAACGCTCTCTTCTTTGATAGTCTTGGATGGGGTGGAGGGTACACCCGTCGCTCCAGTGTGTAGTGTTAAAGTAGCGACGAGTAGGTGTTTTCTACTACCTCCATCTCTGCAGCCACGGATCGGGCATCCTTAGGTCCCAGGGCAGCCCAACTGACTTGCTCGCGGGCAGTGGCGTAGGCCGCTTCATTTCCCTGTAGACCCTCGTGTCCAGGAACCCAGATTACGCAGGTATATGGAAGTGGAGAGCTTCGCCATTGCAGGATGTTAATTGTGTCGGCTGAGACGCGGCCCTTCGCATAATTCTGGCAAGCGGCTTGCGAGTCAGTGAAGATCACCACAGCGTCTTTACATGTGGTGGTAACGAGAGCGATTTGCCGCTTCTTTCGTTGCATCTGAGTTGCTTTGATTGATATGTGGGGTTCAACGTCCCAAAACCACCATATGATTATGAGAGACGCCGTAGTGGAGGGCACCGGAAATTTCGACCACCTGCGGTTCTTTAACGTGCACCCAAATCTGAGCACACGGGCCTACAACATTTCCACCTCCATGGGAAATGGCGTTTGAGTTGCGTGCTTTGACTGTGGCCGACGCTAACTCTCGGCCTTGAGAGCCTACGACGCTGATGGCATACGCGTTTTCTACGGGGGTACTTGGCCGCGTCGGCATAGCGGGCGTTCGAGTCTTGCCTGAACTTGCGTTGAAAAGCTTCTGCTCTAGCCTTTCGTCTACCTTTGTGGAATCGTGCATGTTGCGTGCGCGATGGACAGGGATTCTCGACCTTCCACCGGGATGCGCTTTTCCCGGTCTGCATCAACAATGTACGATTCGCTGTAGTTAAGATACCGGAGTACCGACCTCCCAGTGAGCGTGAGTCGTTCCAGCTGGCTCTTCTTGTGAGCCTCCGCGAGCTCTTGCCACGTGTTGTGGACACCCATCTTAAGAAGTTGTGAAGTAGAAGCCATGGGTCGTAGTCCCAAGGCGGCTTTGGTTGCCTTTCTTATCATAATATTAAGTTTTTTTCTATTTCCGCAGTTTTTAAACTGAGGTATGGCGTGCCGTACGTGATGCGGCTGGTGAGCAGAGCTAGCATCATCTTGACGAGGCGTGTGAGCTGCGAAAGAGTTCTTTGGAGTCTCGGTATGGTAGCCGCTCCCGATCCATCTTTGTGTATGTGAAGTCCGAGCACCCGTAGCGTATCAACTTTCGGAATAATGGTCCCGTTGAGGGTGACGCAAGGGTCGGGCTGTTCGTATATGGGAGGCCTGCCTCTCGTCCTTGCTTTGAGTACGAGATGCTCAGACTTCTCGGGGGCACAGTTGAGGCCGCAGTGTCAGAGATACCTTTCGATGGTGTTTACGGCATCTTGTAAGCAACTTGAGGCTATAAATTTTACATATGCATTAGGCCCCATTTAAATGACGACTTTCCCGGACGCATTCTTTCTCAGTGTGTTTCTTCAGCTTTGAGCAGGAATACGTTGCAGCAAGCCGCAAGGCATTGAAATTATAAAAAGGTTCCAAAGCAGAGGTCTCAAGCTCGCCTCAGAAAGCGGGCCGCAATCAGGAAATTTAGTCCCGCAAGGGTGGGGACAGTCCAGAAGGTCAATGGCGGCAGAAGGGCGAACGAAATGTGTGCTACTCTGTGAATGCCTTTCCCATATCTTATATATGAATAATTTTCTAAGGGGATTTTGCATCAGGATTTTAGAAACGTTTTGAGTATAATACCCAAAGTGACTCATACCTGGTCGCTGATTTTGAAAAAATCGAGATTTTGTGCCACGGTTTTGTACCGCACATTTGGTGACCACACGGGGTGCCTCACGAAAAAGAATGAATAAAGATAATGAAGGCATAGTTCTATCAGAATGCTCTATATGTACTGCCATAATATGGACGTCTATGGCATTAAAACTTAACAGCATTTCCAGCACACTAACTTTTACAGAATTGGTGGCCAGCTGATGCACTCATTGTTACTTTTGTTTATGAGCATGTTGAGACAACTCATAATGATGAAACAATCACAATTTATAAAAAGTGACCTATTTTGCATTAGAAGCCTCAAGACATAAAATTTTCATAAAGTGCCATTTATAACTAATAACAAGCAAGCTTGAGCAAGTACATCAGCAAGCATATGCCATACTTTATCACATCTGCATATAAACTAGCTTATTTGAAGCATTGTCATCATAGCATTTAATACAAGCACATATGCCAATATGCTAATGGCAAAGAAAAAAAACATTAGACAACTGTGTGTGGCTATAACAAATACTCTCTCCCTGGACACTTCTATTGCAGCATGGTATTTCCAAACACCTTTTGATACACTGCAATCTTACAGATGTCTCAAAACAGCAGAAAATCAACTTAACATTAGTACTACCTGAAACACCCAGTTCTTACTCTTAGTTTAATAAAAAAAAACAACAACGCCAGGCCTCCACAGAACGTGCAGCACAGTCACAGCAAAACCTGGCAGAGCGGCCCTTCAGAGCCTTTTCTGAACAGTCATTGGGTAACTGCTGCAAGCACACTTGCTTGGTACCCACTACATCATTGATAATAATAATTTCTGGGTAGCAGGTTCACATTCGCTATGCTACCCTTCGTCATTTTTCTGAGAAGTGTGGTATCCGCTAAATACTTACAAGAAATTTTGAGCCAAATCATGCAATGGCTGACGTTGACGAGGGATTATGACTGTAGTGGATATGCACCACAGTTAATTGGTGATCAAGAACAAGCTTTTCTAGTGGGTTGGAGCATTGGGCAACCCACTCGTTATGCAATTTGAATTTTGTGAAGCCTAGTTATTCCTTTACTGTTTTAACATGCTTAGTTACTCATACTAACGCGATGTCTTTTCCCGACATCAAGCCTGCCTAAGGCAAGTTTGCAACAGAGCTTCAAGCACCAGGGTATCTCTGTGGTAGAATACTGGGCTGGCACGCAGGGGAAGAGTGTTCGAATCCCACTGTGACCTTGGTGTTTTTATTTACCAAGTTTTTACAGCGAAAGCTGTTACGAGATCAAAACTCAGTCACGCACAGCGCCGTAGGTGTCTGCCGCTGCTAGTGTCCGTAACCATTATCACAGAAATAAGAAAAAAACCTAGTACCAAAGACACAGTAGGGGCTCGAATTGTGCTTTAGAATACTGGGCATGCCAGCCCAGTATTCTACTACTGAGCCATGATGGTGCTTGTTTGCAAACTTGCTTTAGGCAGACTTGATGTCATGAAAGGAATCGTGTTAATATGAGTAATAAGGTGTTTTAGAACAGCAAAAGAATAACCAGTCATCACACAATGCGAATAGCATAACGAGTGGGTCGTCCAATGCTCCAACCCACTACAAAAGCTTGTTCTTGATCACCTATTAACTGTGGCGCATGCCCACTTCACGCACAATTCCTCATCGTCGTCAGTCACTGCATGAACAATTGGCACAAAATCCCTTGCAAGTGTTTAGCGGATACCATGCTTCTCAGAAGAATGACGAAGAATAGCGTAGCTAATGCCAGCTTGCTACCCAGAAATTATTATATTAATGCCTTAGTGGGTACCCAGCAAGTGTGCTTGCAGCAGTTAACCAATGAGTGTTTAGATAAGGCTTTGAAAGGCCACTCTTCTAGCTTTCGCTGCGACTGTGCAGGCCTGGCGTTCTTTTTTTTTTTCTTATTTCGTGTGATAGTGGTTACGGATATCGGCGGCGGACAACTAGAGTGCACGCGACCCTTGTAAACTGATTCATCTACATTGAATCAAGAGCAGTTCATCTTCTACAGCGTCACTATTCCTCAAGCCGCATATTTTTCTGCCTACCTTGCACTTTCATTTCCATTAAATGAAAAGCCACTTTCATTATGTGCCAATTTTGCACTATTTCATGTGTTTTAGTTGTGTAATACAGAATAAAACAAGATACATTAGTGATGATGTTGATAGGTATTTCTAGGCAATAAGTACTTTATTTGTTGTTGCTTCGGTAATTTGTTCCTTTTACAGCAGAAGCTGTTATGAGATCACAACTCGAGTCACGCGCAGTTGTTCGCTGCTGGTGTCCGTAACCACATTGCGTGAAATTAGAAAAATAAAAATAAAACTAGCACCAACTGTACGCTGGGTGCCAGCCCAGTATTCTATCACTGAGCCACACCTTTGCTTGGGACTTGGCAAACTTGCCTTAGGCAGGCTTGATGTCGGGAAAGCAATCAAATTAATATGACTTATAAAGCATTTTAAAACAGCGAAACAACAACCAGTCATTGCACACTGCGAGTAGTGCAATGAGTGGGTCGTCCAATGCTCCAACCCATCACAAAAGGTTGTTCTTATTTCCCCGTTTACTGTGGCTCATACCCGCTTCAGCCATAATTCCACTGCATGAACAATGGGCACGAAATTCCTTGCAAGTGTTTAGTGGATACCACGCTTCTCAGAAGAATGACAAAAAATAGCATAGCGAATGCCCGCCTACTATCCAAGAAGTTTTATTATTAATGCTCTAGTGGGTATCAAGTGTGCTTGTAGTAGTTACTTAATGAGGGTTTTTTTTAAAGGCTCTGAATGGCCGCTTGTCTAGCTTTTGCTGTGCCTTCCGTGCAGGCCTGGCATTTTCTTTTTTTTTTTTGTGACACCACTCTTCAAATATGGAAATAAACTAAATTATGCAGCACAATCTAGCCTAAGCCACAGCCCTTTGGTCTTGTGTTTTCTGTAACAATGAAGCACAAACTAAATGGAAAGTGTATGAACATTCTCTATTTCACACAGAAGAAAAAAAAACTAAAGCCCTTACATTATTAACAGCAGTCAAGCCGATTGAAGTGCACTGTGTTACAAACGTCCACAAGTGAAAATCTGGCTTCACATATTCTGCTTTGGGACTGTAAGCACTTTGGCAAAACTTGCTAAGCCTCAGTCCATGCCAAAAGGTCACATTGCAGCTGACAGCTTCAGTTCGATTCTTGTGCAGAAGCCACACAGATCATGGAAAGGCCAGCTCTCACATGAGCTGTACGTTGGCCATCTGAAAGTAGCGCTGCAGAAAGTTGTTGGCCGCTGGCTGCAGTGAGCTGCTGATAAGGGGCCCCAAACGACCGGGACAGGCAGCCGAGAGTTTCTGCAGGCTCCGCACAAGATGCAAACGTGCGTCCGGGATGTTTCCCTGGAAGGGGTCGTGCTCCTTCTTCCCAGCAAAAATAAGCTGCGAGTAAGCCGTCTGGTATCCCGGAGTGTCCTCAATTTCTACAAAGTGTTCATCGTCTGGCACACTGTCATCTTCAGGCAGTTCAAAGAGGTCAATCAGGGCTTGTAGAAGAGGGCCCCAAAATTGTGAGTACTCCCCTTCGATGAGGGCAGGGGCCTCGGTAAGAAGCTTGGTGATGCCTACAGCACAGATTTTTCGTTCCAACTGGCCTGTGACTTTCTGTACATCGGCAATGACGAGCCTCTCTAGGACCATGCCAAACATCTTAGTTTGGATGCTGTCTACAGTGGAGATGAGAGCAGGTGCGCCATATCGGTACGCGTACAAGCTAAAGAAGACGAGCAGGCCTCGCACAAATTTGGTCGTTTTAGAGCTCTGAAGTCGCTGAAAGAGCAATAAAAAAATTTGCTTTATGTACTGGCTTACTGCATCTGGGCTCATGTGCTCCAAAATGCTTTGCACAATGTAGAATCCTTCATGATCGTTGGACTTGGAGGCTATAAGCTTCTGAAAGACACCCAATAGACCCATCAGACGATCAGCAGCCAAGATTTGTGCAGCACCTCGCTCGATGAAGGCCTGCAGCAGACGAACCAGCGGGTGGATATTTCCCGGCCGTTCCCACAGTACTGGAGCTAGCAAGCAGGGGAACAGTGCCATGTACGGATCAGGCACGGGTGAACTGTGACATTCCAGCATGAGAGATAGCAGCTGGAAAATATAGGGCACAAATTCCTGGACATCCTGTTGAAGAATATCCTGGAACACTGGAAACAGGCTGCTCTCAAAGCCTGCCACTGCCGATGGGTCTTTCCCACAGGCAATCCTTATAGACAGACTGAGTGTCTCAAAGAGGAAGTGGTTGAAATGTGGTTTTGAGGGGTTCTTGCTGGCCTGCACAAGCTTGCCTGTAAGCAGAGGAAGCAGTTGACTCAGGTAGGGCAACACATTTTCCTGCAGAAGAGAGAAGGTGCGCATCATCGCTTTCATTATGTACTCATTCTCTGCGGAGCCTGGATGAGCAAAAGACTGGAAAAGGTTTTTCAATAGCTGCTCCGAGATTTGCCCCACATCAGCAGCAGCGATTACGGCCTTCCCTTGTGGGTCTTTCATGGTGAAAAACTTGTCAACAGCACTGGCAGCGTATGTGTGGACCACATAACTCGGTGCAAGCAATAGGTGGACCACATGCGGCAGGCTCTGAAGAATCATGTGCTTAGGCAGCTGATTTCGGAACACCATTAAGTACTTGATTGCATCAGCTTTCAGTACTGGAAACTCGGTCAGGTTCTCATTATGAAGGTCAGGGGCAATGAACTCTCGGTAGAAGTCGACCACATTTACAAGTGAGCTGGTCTGTGTTGTACCCAGTTTTGCTGTTTGTGCCTTGACAGCCATTGAGGTAACAAGATAAATAGCGACGTCCTTGTTCTTCCAGTTTTGAGCTGGGTCTTTAGCAAATTGTTGCAACATTGCCGTGATATACTGAGAGAATGTTTCAGTAATCTTCTGTTCAAAGTGTTTGGACAAAGCACGAACTAAGTCACAAGCAGCACGCCGCCGTGTGTCAATGTCCGACCCTTCGATATCTTTGCGAACATATTCTTCTGGATTATCTTCAAAGAGCTCTTCATCAGTGGTGCGGAACTCCATGTTTGGGATGATCACTTTTTCGCAGATAGAACCAAGAACACTGGCATCTTCAAACAGTTGCTTGTAGTGGGGCCTCTCAGCAACGGCAGAAAGAAAGTGGATCGCATTGCTGACGAGAATGTCATACTTGGCCTGCGGCCCAGTTGTCGTCAGAAGGTGCCAAACAGCGGTTACGAAGCCCGGCAGATATGTCTGGAATTCTTCGTCATACTTCTGGGCATAGAGGCCAACATTGTCACATATCTGGGACTTCAGCTGTTCCAGCAGCCCCGCTTCTTCATCCTCATCAGTCTGCAGCACCTTGTTGTCAGCCGTAAGAAGAGTAAGAAAGTGTGACATCCATATATTCATGTTGTCTTCAAATATTTCTGGCAGGTCTTGATAATTAAGGCTGTAGAAGACTTTCGCTATGAGCACCAAGGAGCTGAATATGACCTTGAGCGCAGTCGGGTTGTTGGCATGAGTGTTGGCCAGCTCCATGGTAGCCACAAACAGGTCGGTAAACGGCTTTGCAAAGTTGTCCAAGACGTGTTTGATTTCGGTCCACAACTCTTGCGACTTGAACTCGTAACGGTAGCGCTTGAAGAGAGAATGAGCAGTTCGCAGCACCCCGTTGATAATGTGGAATTCGCCGCTCTGGAAATGGCTGATCATCTCCGGCAGTAGGTTCGGCCAGCGGGCTGGGAAGTCTTCACGGCCGATGATGCTGACGGCATCGCTGAGTTGTTTCTGCAGTTGCTCGGGGCTGCGCAGCATCAGACCGACGATCATCTCCTTGACGGCAGCGCGGTCGCTAGGGTGCACTCGGTCGGCGCCGTCCTCGGAAACCGCCCAGTGACGCTTCACGTAATTCTTGAACGCAATCGCACCGGCCACACGAACCACCATGTCGATGTCAGCTTTGTCCACGAGGTGCAGCAACAAGACAGGGTAATTTTGGTTCACCTCTATCGTTTCCAGAAATTTCTCCGCATTGCGACGAGTCGTCACGTCGACCTGAAGCGTTTGCTGGAGGTACGAGGCGAGCGTGCTCAAATTATTTTCAGTTATTTCCATCTTGTATTACAAGGACTGCATTCACTTGCCGGCGAAATCGGCAAACCTCACTTTAAATGACGGATTTATACTCTCGCATCCGATTCCAACCCGAGCCGAGCACTTTTTGTGACTAACGCTAGGCAGCAGCACATAACTGATGGTAGGGGGCACAACCTCGAGACTGCAGGAAGTCACAATTTGCAACAATTTGCCTCAATTTATGCTTAAATAAAATTGCAAAACTTATAACAATAATTTTTTTTTATTTTACATCGCAAAATTAGTAGTAGAAGTATCTAAAATATTCAAAACAACTTTGTGTTTTTTTTTCAAAAACTTTATCATTACATTGCCAAAGAAAGTAGCGCCAGCGCTTATAAAGTGACGCTTTGTTTTGGTATTTTTTGCGTCTCTTTTTGATAGTTTTTCGCTTTACTGGACAGGCATGCACGTGAGAGGTGGTTGTATGGGTTCTAGCAGCGTTTGTTGTAGCGATGGCTACGGCGGTTGTAAAGTTTCGTGCATGATTGTACAGTGTTCTTGCGTTGCATGCCTGATACATGACGTTTAGATGTTCTATGGAATCGCCGTCAAGTTGTAGCACGATAATTCTCTGAAAGCCTGCGACGATGGCTGCTGTTTTAAAGAAACGAGCATTGGCCGAGTTTAGTCAAGTTCTCCAGGTAAGCTCATCGTGTGGTTTCGGACGGAAAGGGGCACGTTTTTCTTCACTTTTATGGTTTGTTCAGGAGGAGCCGCCTAAACCATTGAAGAAGTTATGCATATCCAAGAAGCCTGCACCTCAAAGAACTGTCGATGTCGCCGAAGTTCTGCAGTCCGGCAGCTCGTCGGATGTGATCATGATGTTGATCCAGTTATCGGAGTGTCTGCCGATACAGGTAAACTGCGGTACTCTCACCGTTTGCATTACCCACGTAACTGGTTTCGTGTTTCACCCGCGTTCTGTAATCATGACGGGAAGTATGATAGAAGTGTGGCAGCTTGGGCTAGTTGGTATGGCATGACGATAGTTATAGCGCGAGAACAAAACGACGACACAGAGACAAGAAGGAAGTATGAGGCATTCATTCGTAGTGGTAGTTCGAAGACTGCGGGCGCGTCTTGTTTGTTTTAGTATATGTCGCCTGTCGAACGAACGTTGTGAAAAAAGACATAGCCTGTTCGTTGCCATAACGAGAATGCCTGACGGGTTCAAATTTGAAAAATTCAATGAATTGATTGCAATTAAGCTGTAACAGTGCATAGAACTGTTAACTACACAAGAGTACTTTTTTGTCAAACTATGTGATCACCGCCTTATTTAAGACTTAAGCTTGAAGGCCATCTCCAGCGTTTTTTTTTTTTTTTTTACCTTGTCTAACTAATGGTGCTTCTATGTTCCTGTGACACTCCTGTCATTGGCTTGATAGCATTTGTCAAACTGTGCGATCACGGCCTCATTTAAAATACGAAAGCTTTCAAGGCCAACTACAGTGATTTCTTGGCCATGGATGTCAAAGTAATGGGGCTTCTGTGTTCCTCAGGCACTCCAGTCACTGGCCCGATAGTATATTAGGCAATAATTTTAAATAAGCAATAAACGCAATACCAAAACCCAATAGAGTAGTGCTGTCTTCGCTGAAAGTAAAAGCTGGTAAGATCTGCAAATTGTGCACGTCATGATGATCCAGCCACTGCGGTGTATGAAAGCTGTGAAATAGGTGAAGATCAGATGATCAGTGCAGAGGTGACCATGTTAATACAGCTGTACCATGTCTGTGCTAGTTGCTCATCAGCCCGGAGGAGCACGGACAGCTGTGACCTGTATGCATTTGGAGGCCAACTAATATTGCCATTCCTCATCAATGGAGTATAACACGTCTGCTTAGTTATGTGATCTCCTCGATGCGCATTCCACTGACAGACCACACCAGCTGTCCAGTTTACTCATGTTTGTAGCTGCTGCGATCTGATAAAATGCCAACCCTAAGAAGTTTGCGGACAATCTTTAACTGTTTAATATTTCTGTAGGAAGAATGCATAAGTTCGTGGATAGTGGTGTTTGATATCATACTGGTATGGTTGATAAAATGTAATATCAGCCAAGTACGGAGCCACCTTTTACATGGTGCACAGCTTACAGTATATGAATAGGTGCAGCCTAGGTGGACAGGAAGTGTTTCGGTACGGCAATGTACTGCACATGTGCACTCTTCAGATGGCACAGTAATACCATACATTATGTGGGGTAAACTGGCACTGCTAGTTGAAACACTCTGAAATAGAAATAAAGAGTAATCATTTGCTGTGGGAGTTTTTTGTGACTGTTAAGGGGAATCATGCGCAGCCCACGGTGCAACACCACTTGCCACCTATTGCAGTCATGCCCACAATGAACTCCACTTTGCCCGCCTGATCAATGGAAGCGCTGCCCAAACAAACAGGATTGTTACCTGGACAGCAGATGCTGTAGGGGCACCTCGGCTTCGTCACTTTTGTCGCTTTGCCCTATATGACGTCACACATACAATGTCACCAGTAATTGTGGGAAGCCAGCGAAGAGAGTTGGGGCTATCAATAAAGTTCATTTGTAAAGGGTGTGTACATTTCCATAGCCTGTAATTTGGCACAAGTGACGGAAAGGTGCGAAGGAATGTACCCAGGGAATTTTTAGTGAGTTACATTGACCTCGAGAAATCGCTGTAGATTGCCTTTGAAGGTACAGACAACCGCTGACAACATAAATAAATTAGGATAGCCCCTGTAACGGAGGGATTTTTCATTATATTGTTTAAAATGCACTCCAGTTTTTTTGTTAAGCACGGGTTTATATTTTTATTTCGTTACCCAACATTACTTTGGGTGCTTGTCAGGGCAAAACAAGTGAAGAGGCACCTATAGGCACTTGCAGACACCAACAACGTTGTTTTGCTGCCTTAAGATTTATGTAGCAGCCAGTAAATAACCTCGAAGGTCCAAAAATTGCAGTGACAAGAAATATATGCACTTTTGCTGTGTGAAAATGCTGCCAAAACGATTTTGCAAATAGTGCTATAATAAGGAACTTATAGGGGATAGAATATCAGTTTCAGCCGGTTTCAAAATTTCACGTGAATTTACCGCCTTTCTCCACCATAGAGAGGGGCAAAGTGTAGCCTGTCATTGTGACTCCACCCACTTCAGCAACATGACACGATGTCAGTAATACGTTATCAGTGCACGGCCAATGACCAAGCAGGGCTTTTCCAACACAAGCATGTGCCATAGCTGTGTAGGGAGGAAGTACTGTGTGACATGGTGTTTCCTAAATATACACTACAGGGAACTTTGGCGCTAGTGTCTATGGGAGCTGCAATGCACGGCACTTCAGCGAAAATGGGAATGATGGGTAGTACACGGATTTGTCTAATCTTTGTACTTCTGGCTCCGTGTGTGCTCGTGTGGCTTGGAACTGCGTTGTTACGGAACAAAAGTCACCAAATGTTCAGCGGTTGCACTTCTCCCCAGTGTTATTTTAAGCTTACCTTTTCAAATTGGGTCACGTTGTTCAAAAGCGATCGTTGTTTTCTTCTAAACAAAACAGAAACACAGCCATAAACAAAGCCACAAGTGCGATTTGCACGAGAGTCCCCTCTAGTTAATTTTAAGATGCTGTGCTGTGCGTGGAACACTCTTCCCCAAGGTAAAGTAGCAAGATGCTTCTCCATCTTGGAGGCTCTCGTTCTGGCAGCCGCTTCTGCCGGTAGTTTCAGGCTGTACAAAAAGGGCAGATGGCAGCACAGGTAAATGAAAAATGTGGACTTGCGGCTAGAACTGCATGGCCGCAGGACCAAGGCAATGTTATGTCGGACAAAGGATCAATTGACGAGCTCAGTGGTATGCCAAGTTGCCCACTGTGCATTCGAGGGGGATTGGTCAGAGCAAAGAAGCTTGGGAATTGTTGTATGAGGAATCTGCGCGGCGCACAGCGCTGCAATATTTGGAAAATGGGATCTTTGCGGTGTAATATACAAATTGGCGTCGAGGGGTGTAAAAAAAGTCTAAGCCTGTGTACTGGCCCTTTAAATTATCACCGTGCTTTCAACGGCATGCTGATGAGGAGCTTTGAAATGTGCTTGTTGTATATGACACGACTTTCACTTTAGTGCTCTGGATAAAAACATGATCAGGTGGAAACTCGCTAATGTTTGAAACTCACAAAAATAATTCTCTCTCAAGTCTCTTCATCGAGAGAATGCGGTTGTTTTTTCCAGGGTGCAGTATTGAGTTGTTTGCTGATGGTTGGCAGATGAAGCTTAGGGTAATGTAATTTATGCAGACATGTGGGGAAAAACCTAGACACACTCGCACAAAAAAAAAGTTTAAGGCAAACTTGTGTTACTGTTCCAAATATTGCCAAATTCAAAATACTTCGATGGTGTGTGTCTTTCTCATTAACAGTTTTCCGGCATCTATAAAAATCTCGGTTTTCATTTCTTGACAACAACACAATGCATATGGCAGCAGTATGGTGAGCGTCGAGAAGAGGCTGCTCAAATAACAATGCTCTGTTATTGGTGGGTTGCTAGACAAAAGAAGCTCATTCAAAAAGCTGTGAACAAACTAAAAAATTTAGAGATTGCTTGAAGTCTTCATTTATTGTTTTCGAATTTCACGTTTTGGCTCAGGTGGCCTTGAGACACACAAGACACAGGTGGCAAAGCCAAGCGCAATGGTAGACAAGTTGCAAGCCTTCTGATAAGCAAATCAGTGCTGCAAGAAGTTAGATTGTAAGGTGGCAATGAGTGCACTTGTGTTTTCTTTTTGCAGCTTGTTTTCACCTTACTGCACACATTTGCATGTCAGAAGCTCTGAAAGTCGTGCATTGTTTTTTTAGTACTAGGTAATAGGCTTTTGTCTAATTTAGTACCCAGCACTTGGAAGGGGGGAGGCAGAGAAAATGGGATGCAAAAAGACCTGTTGATCATCGCTGTTGATAAGGTTAGGAAGACAGTAATGTTAACATGGTCGATTGCATTTTATTTGTGTAGTTACATTTTGGGCCAGTTGTTTAATATTTCTGACCATTTATGCTTGAATTTAAAGCATGTGTAATTGTAATTGGTTGCTTTCTGTGTTTTTTTCCTGTAATGTGTAGAAGTCTTATTCCAGGCTGAATAAACATATCTAGGATGATCAGAAAGCTGCAATTTCAATGATGTAACCTCTCTTGCCGCAGTCTGAAGAGGTGCAAAGTGTATACAAGTCCTTGCTGGAGCACTTCTCCAATGAAAAGGAGACAACAGCTCGTGCAAAGCTGTCCTCTGTTCTGGGTCAGCTGGTGTGTCGGCAAGGGGCCCCTGAACCTGCAGCAGCAGTTGAAGACCTCGCTGCCCTGCTTCGTGCAGAAACCTCACATGCCGTGTTAGCTGCCCTGGTTGACTCGCTGCACTGTGTTGGCCTACACGCACACAGTGACAAGCGTGTCCAGCAAAAGGCCAGCCAACTGGCCAAGCAGGTAGGCCGTCCATGGCATTGTCAATCCAGTCATACTCTGTTAGATTCATTAGGTTGTGTATTAACAGAAGCCCTTCAAACCCTTGCCCTTTTTTCTGCTTTCTTTTCTACTTTATATATTTAAAGATTGTAATCATTTCATATCAAACACTGTCCTTAAATCATCATCATCATCAGCCTGACTACGCCCACTGCAGGACAAAGGCCTCTCCCATGTTCCGCTAGTTAACTCGGTCCTGTGCTTGCTGCTGCCAATTTACACCCGTAAACTTCATAATCTCATCTGCCCACATAACCTTCCGTCTCCCCCTAACCCGCTTGCCTTCTCTAGAAATACATTTAGTTACCCTTAATGACCAGCGGTTATCCTGTCTAAATGCTACATGCCCGGCCCATGTCCATTTCTTCTTCATTTCAACTATGATATCCTTAACCCCCGTTTGTTCCCTAATCCACTCTGTTCTCTTCTTGTCTCTTGAGGTTACACCTACCATTTTTCTTTCCATTGCTCGCTGTGTCATGCTCAATTTAAGCTGAACCCTCTTTGTAAGTCTCCAGGTCTCTGCTTCGTAGCTAAGTACCGGCAAGATACAGCTGTTATATATCTTCCTGTTGAGGGATAATGGCAATCTACCTATCATAATTTGAGAGTGCTTGCCAAAAGTGCTCCACCCCATTCTTATTCTTCTAGTTACTTCAATCTCGTGGTTCAGCTCCGCGATGATTACCCGCCCTAAGTAGACATAGTCTTTTACAGCTTGAAGTGCACTATTACCTATCTCGAAGCGCTGCTCTCTTCCAAGGTTGTGGTACATTACTTTAGTTTTCTGCAGATTACTTTTAAGACCTACTTTTCTGCTCTCCTTGTCTAACTCTATAATCATAAGTTGCAATTCGTCCCCTGAGTTGCTTAGCAACGCAATGTCATCGGCGAAGCGCAGGTTACTAAGGTACTTTCCATTAACTCTTACACCTATCTGTTCCCATTCTAGGCCTCTGAAAACCTCCTGTAAGCATGCGGTAAATAGCATTGGGGAGATTGTATCCCCCTGCCTTACACCCTTTTTGATCTTAAATAGGTTTATTCAAAAAGCAATTGTTGTCTTGATTAAAGAATGGCATTGTCTGTGTTATTTTTTTTAGGGATTATTGTCTGTCATATATTTTTCATTGATCTCTAATCTTATGTTTTAGTATAATGGGATGATTTCAGCATACACAGAACAGACAAAGATGAAAGAAAGTAGACGAACAAGCGCTGTCAAAAGAACTTCCTTTCATCTTTCCGTGTTGTGTGCTTGCTGAAATCATCCCATTGTGAATTTCTACCAACTCGCTCTGTTTTCATTATTTTACCACACATTTTTTGTTGCACACATTATTGTTCAATTATGACATGTTTTCCTGTAATATTGCTGGTATTGCTAATCAACACACTTTTATTGGTAATATTTGACAATAGATCCACCTATGGCCTTGCTCTATTGTTCCTCCTGTATATTTATTTATATGGTGTTTTCTACTACGATTTCAATAAACTTGATATTATTTGATTCATGGAGTTGATTGAGAGATGAAAAATTGTGGAAAGGGAATGTCCCCGGAGCCTGCGTTTTGACAAGTGGAGTTGCCTTTCTCATGGCAGTGTTTATTGCACCGGCATTATTTTGGGGTTTATGTTTCAAATGTCTTGTTCCACTGGTTAAGATTCTATGATAATCCATGTATCGGTGCAAAAAACTTCTGCTTCTAATGTAAGCGATCGTGCCTTTTCAGGGCCATTAGGCAACTGAAGTGTCAAACTGCCCTTGTATTATCACTATGTTTCTATTTTACTCTTCTAGTTTTAATGTTTGGTTGATGTACATTCATTTTTTGCCTACGAGAGCACTTTGGCAGATTACTTAATAATTATCGTGTTCAGTTCAACGCTGACATTCACAATTGTACTATAACTATAACTATAAAGGTGGTTCACTCACTGCATGTTACTTCAATCGACTTTAAACGTGATTAGGCTGTGGTGGCTGCATTTGATAGAGGCTAAATTCTTGAGGCCAGTGTATATTTAGGTGCACGTTGAAGAACCCCAGGTGGTTGGGACAAAGAAAACTGGGCATGTTGGTATAGATTTATCATTACCAGAGCATGCTCACTCGAAGCAGACAAACAGGAAAAAATGTACACAAGCACTCAATAATGATGAACCCATGTGGTCAAAATTTCTGGTGCCCAAAATGTAGCTTTCATCAGACTTACATCATGGTTTTTGAAAATAAAACTTCAATAATTATTATAAAATTATTAAACATGATAAGCACACACTTCCTGAGTAGATAAGTAGCGCTCTTTAAAGTTCGTTGTGTTGTGTATCTCTGCACAGGATCACTTTACTAAAGATATTGCCATCTTTGATCAGTCAGTCAATGTTCAACATTCTGGGAGCAATGCCAACAATATAATTTCAGTAAAATGGAAATGAGTATAAACTACCTGTTAATTATGATGGGGCAAAATACAAATAAATACTGTGCCCCATCAGCACTTAGTGGTTTACTACAGTTAATGGTCTTTCTCACTTCATTTACATTCTGGCTGATGCTTTCATCGCTGCTGTGCTTCCTTGTTATATACTCCACTGGGCCTTACCTGATGTTGCAGGCACTGTCGGATGGAAACCACAGAGTGCAGTGCAAGTGCTTGCGCCTGCTAAGCGACTTGCTCCCCACAGATGGCCGGCCTGAGGCGCTAACATCATTGCTCAGTGATTACAGCCGCCACCAGGACCCTCGCGTCCGCACGGCAGCCTTCCAGGCCATGGTGAGGGCAGAGTTAAATTGACTTCTTTTATAATCATGGATGAGATCGTTTTCATGAATTGGCCCTGCAACACTTTTCTAAGTTATAATTGAATAGTCTCTCTATTAGCCAATAATGCTTCACAAATAACATGCTGCTAAAATATTTAGAATCTGTCAAGTACGAGCGGAACTACAGAAATTTGTCACACGCTTGAAGCACTTTCTCTCTCCTTTTGTGCCAGTGAGCGTGCTGAAAGCTACGGAGGGAGATGCATAAACAGGGGGCAAAAAGATCTTATTAAACATGTCCTTTTATTTTTTCTTTGAACATGCAGATTACCTTTAGTTTGATCTCGATCATGAGTGTGGGCACGGGATGGGCACGGGATGCCAGTATGACCGCAAGAGCATGTGCGTGGGCACGTTGCAGATCATATGATGGCTGTGGGGACTACGGAGCTCATGATGCTCAAATCAGTCAACTGCTGTGAACTTGGGTATATGGAGCAGTAATTTGGTAATACCACATCATTTTGTGGAGAGAAGAGGAAGCGATTTTCAGCTGAATTTTAGAATTAATTGCCAATTCTGGGTCGTGTACTTGAGCTATAATGTCTGGCTCGTGTGTTCTTGGGAGCTTCGACTACTGATCGGCAGTGTTTTCTGACCTTGCTCAAAAGGTTTTGCAGGTTGTCAGCTAGTTATGGTTCAAATATTAGATTGGCTAAAAGAATGTAACAAATGAAGTGCTGGGAGATGGGGAATGCCCCACTTTCAATCTGCTACATAAATATGTGCAAATGTGTTGCACATATTTTTCAAGCAGTGAAGGCAACCTCATTGTTTTATATGGCATTAAATTCAAGATGAGTACACTTCTTGTGGTGCTTAATTCGGTTCTTGCAAGCCCCACCATCCAATGACATATTACAGACTTAATTTTGGATGGTATGGACAGCGAATGTAATGGATTTATTGAAGGTAAATTGATGACCACCCATGCACAGCATGAAAGCCAAAAAAAAAAATTCATTCAGATTTCTCAGAAAGAAAGCTTCTTCGCTGTTGAAAAAGTCTGCAACTAAAGAACTGCGAGGGATTCCGCAGTACTCATTTGCAATAATAGACCTTTGTCATAAGATAATTAGTGCTTATTGTAATGAGCATCTACTGTGTTGCTGACCCACCTAGTGTGTTTGTAAAAGACACTGAATGTCAGCCTTAGTTGAGAGATGGAAGAAACTGTTATTAATTGAACCTAGGTCTTTTCAGTGCTCCACTAAGTGACCGTGATCAAGTAGGTTTTGACCCTGAATGGTCTCTGAACAGTTTTGACACTGGTATTACCTCTGAATGAGTGCCATAGCATCCGTATTACGATGCCTTTCATTTAATGATAGCTTTTTGCGTTCTTTGTTCTCTTTTTGTGCAGTACCGTCTTCATGATCGTGGCCTGAAGCTGGATGTGAGCCTGTATGAACATGTAACGACCGCCTTGAATGACGACTATGAAAGTGTGCGCATAGCTGCCCTGAAGCTGGTGCAAGTGCTAAGCCATGCATACGGCAACAAGTGAGTGCTTGCATGAGACAGTGCTTCTTGTTGAGCCAGACACAGGCTCTGCTCACTTCTTGAAGATCTCCATGCAACATTCCATGCAATTAGTGCAATTGATGACATGGAGTACTGAAATGAAGGGGGAATGGACAGCAAAGACAGGTGTGCAACTACTACTGCCCATCGCTTGGTTATTTTTGAAGCAAGCTCCACAAATTTTTGCAAGTAGCTTGAATGGACATCTTTTTAGATGTCTTGTGAATTTGGCAAGAAAATACAAAGCCATTCTAAAAGTAATAAGAATGTATAATTTTACTATTTTTATTTTTTGAAGGAACATTTCTTCAAAAAATTCTGCTTGTAAAATAGTGAAATCTCTTCTGGTTACTACATGTGCCAGAGTATCCTTCTGAACCAAAATATTAATTGTAGGCATGGCTATTCTTTAGTTAACAATTGAGATAGTTGATGGCTGGAATTCTAGGGCTTTTTTCTTAGGAGAAAATTTTTTCAAAAAGTCAATTCTTGTGATAACACTATTATTTTGCTTCAGAATGGGTGCATGCTATTCCGAAAGAAGTCACAAAAGTTTGCACTTCATAGCTGCAGTGGTTACAGAGGAAATGTTCCTTTCCTGATGAAAAGTAGTGTTTGGAGAAAACGCCTCTTAAACTTTGAGTTGCCGTAGTAGAGACGCGGGGTCAGGTGGGTTTGGGGCCGCTTTTAAATGCTCTCCACTGCTTGTACAAATGTATCACTTCGTGGAAGCACTTGTCAGTAATGCTGGAATACAGTGCTATGAAAACTGAAAAATCGCATATTCAGTTGATTTTGCCCTCCAAGCCTCCTTAAGTCCCTTTTAATGACATTTATTGTTATAACATACTCAGCATTACAAAGTATTAGGCATTTTTTTAGAGGTGTTCAAATATTCAAATGTTCTGAGTATTAGTTCAACATTGCATTTATAATATTCGTATTGAATTCTAAAGTGGCTTATTAAAAAATTTTAAATGATTGATGTGGCATTAACATTTGAAATGATTGAACATTCAATCCCCATATCTTACCGAAAAGAACCCATGGCCTTGCTATTCTTTGGTAAGCGAGCCAGCAGTTGACAAACAATTCTGAGTGTGATGCTGCATAGTACGGCTAATCATTGAAGATACATGAACACGTGATAGCAACAACTAATAAACATATGTACGCTAAGCCACTATATGGCAAGTATAAATGTTCTCTTTTTCTGTCTGCTCTTTTTTGGGATCCAGCTTTTAAGCTCACGTCCAGCTGTTTAACGGGGGACATGGCAATGGGAATTGTAAGTTTGGTCAAAATGTTCAGTTTTTCAATAAATTTTTTTCTGTAATACTGAGACCATGTTTCACATCATAGTGTGAATTTAGATCAAAATAAGTAGTACAAGTTGAGAAACAAGCGTTTTACTGGTGGGCTGTCATCAAAATCTATGTGAAAATTGGGCATAGCAAAATGCAAATTTGGAGCTTTTCCTCGGCAAAGTGCCATCATATTGGCATCATCATAAAGAGGACAGATTGGAGCTCAAGATAGCCACAAAGATGTATTTCTCCAATTAAAAATAAAGCCAGCTTTTTTCCGAGTTTCGTTTTATCAGCTTCTAGCTCCAACGTCTTTGAGCCCCATTTTCTCATGTTTCATTTTTTGAGCAGTTGCTGTCAGTATCCTTGTGCCATTTCACAACAAATTAAGCTATAGCCATTAAGTTTCTTGCACTTGGATTCTGAGACATTGGTGAGCACTGTAAAGCTGTCCATATTTGTGTGGACGTCATACAGACTTTTGTAATTGGCTTTTTGTAAAAGTTGTTGGTAAAATAATATGTCCAGGACATTTCAGAAAAAAAATTTTGTGTGCTTACTTATATATTAAAAATAAAGCAATAGCATTACGATGCAAAATGGACTGCTGTAAATATCGTTATGCAAAAATTTTGATGAACTTGTGTCTAATTAGCTAATTAAATTTGGAGTGACAATGAAAATCTATCAAGTGTTGTAACTCAAAAGTTATATTAGATAGCTCAAAACCAATTTCAGTTACGATAAGAGCACAACAAGTGACATCTTCATGCCAAATTTCATCCCTTTAGCTTCATAAATAACAAAGATAATTTTCATTGCTACGTCCGCTCTTAAAAAACATGGTTGATTCCTCTACCATAGAAATAAGTAAAACACAAAAGTAAAATATGTCTTTAAAGAAGTAGTATAATGTTTACTGTACATTGATTTAAAAAAGCTTGTGCAATTTCTATTGGTGGTTGACAGCTGTAGCACCGCTTAACGTGAATGCATCCACGTTGCCACTTATTCATACTTCTCTATCCCAACGACTAACATTCATCATGAATAAATTGAACAAACCCATGTGGGTCATAGATATCTGTGTGAGAGCTAAACCAGAGGAAACGATGCGACAGCCAGAAGAGCATGGCTGATTGGTTGCCAATTTTTGGCTGAAGTTGCTTACTTGCGGCATGTTGCGGGGTTAAACACCAATGACCGACGAGAGGGAAACACAACACACTTCCCTTTGGCCGGCCGCAATCGTTCGGGGGGTGAGCGCACGTGGGGAACGCGGTGTTAAAGCCAAATGAGAGCCTGAGCTCTAGGTATGGATGGATGATATGAGTGACGTTGACGCCTGGGGCAAAGTCGCCACCTGGGAGTGTGTTGAGGCATTGACAAAGTTGCACTTCGCCTATTACAAACGCACCAAACGGAACAGATTCTTAGAAACAACGTGTTTAAGGAACTAATACTGGATACCACGATCATGATGCATTACAGCACTTTACCAAGAACACTGCGAGAGAACAGTGGCAGATATAAAAGGCGTATTTTTTAATGCATACAAAGTATGTGGCCATGGCACACTAGATAGCGTGTCCAGCATCTGTTGTCGCTGACCCAGGGGTCATGGGTTCGAATCCCACTGACATAACTTCTTTTCTTTATCTTCTGATCAAGCATACTTTTTCGACGTCATTTCTATGACACAAATACGTCACTGAAATCTTGGTGGACCCCCATCATAAAACATGTTAGTGTTTAAAAAAGAAATGTTTTGTCCATCGTGCAAATTGTTACAATGATGGTTTACTGGGAGCTACAAAGAGTGAAATTTTTTCTGGGATCATGAATTTCTTTTATTACATTAGCAAATGTATAGACCATCTCAACGAGGTTTTGCTGTTGTCGTCACTGTCATGTCCTATATAAAGCCCAAATTGGTAAGATCCTTCAGCACATCAAATGTTCTAACTGCAGGCATTAGTGTACGAGCAGGGTTGATGATTGTGGCTGGCGCAGAGATCAAATGAGCCGGCCCACCTCCGTCGTTTGGAGGATGCATGCGATAAGGTCGCATGCATCTCCGACTGGCCATCTTATCCTCAAACTGAGAGGAAATGCCTTGCCTGTCTTCAACGAGCATGAAAAGATGCTAGAGGGGGGTCCATGAGCAGCAACTGTGAACTTTGATGTTACAGGCTGTGGGGTCTCAAATTGGCGAGTGAGCGCCACGGTCTGCTCTGGAGTGAATGGGCATAGCAGACGCGGTCGGTACAAACCAAACAACATACATACATTTATTTACCTAATTTATAACGACGATATCGTCCGCCGAATCGATACATCAGTAATGAACACGCTAGGACATCGTTACACAATAACGCGACAAACACAGCATGACACACCCAAGGCGGCGTCGTCAACGCTTGACTTACCACGTGAGCCTACCGCAGGCGGCCCGCGGTGCCGTGCACCCAAAAATGCTGTAGGCTCATGTGCTCAGGCTTGGGTGCACAATAAAGAACCCCAGTTAGTCAAAATTTCCGGAGCCTTCCACTACGACGTCTCTCATAATCATATGGTTGTTTTGGGATGTTAAACCCCACATATCAATCATCAATTTACCTGATATTTGAGGTTAGGTATTCACATTCAGATTGTATATTGAAACTTTAATACATAGATTCCTTTTGTTGAGTAACATTTAGTCATGCAATATTTTTATTCGGCAGCCATGTGCAAGTACGGAACAGCCAGGAGCAAATCCGACTAGCAGATGACGCTTTTGCCAAGATCTGCCAGATGGTTGGAGATCTTTCCATGAGTGTGCGCATTGAAGCGGCCTCATTGATGGTGAGGAATCTTACCCTTTCTGCTGAAATTGGCAGTGCTGTGGAAATGATTATATTGTCTGTTTGTATTGTTTAAAAAACAACTAGTGTTGTGTATTATTTTTTGTGGAAAGAAATGTATTTCATTTGTTTACCCTTGGAAAGTTTCATGGCTATCATTGTTTATCGCGAAACCTGTTTTTAACTATATACCAGTTTCGTCTTACCACCCTACAAGTTCTAAACTTTGCCTTTTTGCACTGCTAAATATGCTGCGTGATTCTCTCCGATACAAGTAGCATGCATATCAGCTTTGTGCACTGTGTTTTATTGGATGCTTCGTGGTTTTCTACTTTGGTCAGAAACGGGAGCTTACTCCGTGATAACGTCAAGGTTGTTAAGACAGTCCTAATATGTGAGTGCTCTTGCGCTGTTAGACTAGTGTCTTAATGTACTGTGGACCAGCATTTACTCTCAGTGCAACTATGAGAATCTGCATGAGAAATTTACAACTTGATTTTATTGCTGAAAGTAATCTGAAATTCTATTTTCCTGTTAGGAAACTGCTGAAAGTGACATTAAAGATGAATGAAACGATTTTTTGTGTATTAGTGAAGTGCCAATCCCGAGAACGCCACTCTTACAGCGACATGACGTTTGAAAAGCAAGAAAACTTAACGAAAGGAAAATGCTGATGGAGACGCCACCTTGAGATTTTCGCACCAAAATCCCGTGATGTAGAAATTTTTGAAGACGTCTACTGGGTCCTGCGTAGCTTCTAATCAATAAAAATGAAGTACATTGTCATCTGTGAGTGTCAGAGACCTAGCATACGAAGTTTCAAAAAATTTTATCAAGCCAAAACCACGAAAATCCGAAAGATACGTTTGTAAATTAGTTACCTCATGTGCCGAGATTTTGGCGTCGAATTTCAAAAGGACACTTGATTTTCTCCGCTAATAATTAACCCATAATAGTAATACATATGGTGTTAGAGTTCTCTGAGTGCAGTTAGTTAACATAAACCAAGTCGTTAGTATTTGTCTTTAGTGTCTCTTCAAAGGGGCCCTGCAACACTTTTCGAACATACTAGTTGAAAAATACTGCAATTGGTAGTAAAAGCTCCCGAGAACACACGAGCCAAATATCATAGTGCAGCATGCGACCTAAAATTCATAATAAATTCTCAAGGTCAGCTAACAATTACTTCTTCCCACGACAATGACGAAAGAAGCTCAAAAATCATTCGTCGCAGCTGTTCTATCAGCCATTGGCTAATATGAACATGGCGTGCTCAGTCATTACAGGGATCGCTGCGGGCGGCCGCGACTTGTCCACGGGAGCGCACACGATCACACTGAAGAGCCACGCATTCGGAAAAAATAAAAAAAGAGAGATAGAGAAAGTGCTCAAGTTTACGAGGTGCACGGGATGTATTTTTTTCCCCCGTGCCATCACTCCCTGCTTTGCTTTCTGGGAATTGAGGCTAGCCCGCTGCCTTTGCGCGGACATGTCTCCCCTCCTCCGCTGTCTGCCGCACTGGGCGAGCGGAGTGACGTTTAACCCCCTCACCCGGTAGCAAATGTTGACTATGGCGCCGCGCGCGGAGTCTCCCGAGAGGTTTTCGCGCGCTGCATCGGGAGCGGACTGTGAGACCTCTCCGGGGACGACATGGGGTAAGCGCGCTTTTCTTTTCCGTCCGTCAGCTCCCTGTGGGGCTCGTTCGGACTTCGCCAACAGCGCCTTGCGCTCGCGGCGAACGCTTACCTTATGTCGCCCCCCCCCTTCCGAACGCTCGGCCGAAGGGTGGTACGGTGTCCTAGTGCGTGGCCTAGCTACGTCGACCCGTCTCCCTCCGAAGCCAACGCGAGCGCCTTTGCCCCCACTCGAGCAACCGGGCCTTGGTCCCGGTGTCTCCGTGGATCACCTTTACCGCGGAGACGTGCTCGTGGCACCCTGTGTAGTACTTTTGTGCCCGTGGCGGGGATAAGCCTATTTGCTTTCCCATCGCGCCTTTTCAACGGGCTGTACTGCGTTTGGTGTTGCCACACTAAAGTGTTGCGACTTTGAGCAGTATCGTGTTCTCGCCACGGCGACGGTTAACGCGTGCCCTGCGGCTCGCTAAGACCGGACCCACGCTGGTGGCGGTACTCCTTCGGGATACGTGTACACCACAGCTTCCAGCGCTTTTGTTGGAATGAGAGAAGAGAAAACGTGGTTGTAGAATGCAACAAATCTTTGTAGCTTCGCTCATACTGGACAGATTCTGAAAATTTTTACGGCAGGGTATTCGTGAGGCAATAAGCTTTTTTTAGTGAATTCATTCCATTGCTACTTGAATGAGTGCTTCAGGACCCCTTAAAGACAGCATTTATCCTGCTTCGAAAATTGCTTCAAATGTCAAACTGACTTTTCTATTATGGTATGGTATGACAGCTGATATTGATAGAAGTACTGCATTTATCAATTCTTTTGTATGCATACTTGGTTATGTGTGCATATGGGCAGTTGACCAAAAATCGCTCGAGTGATGGCTCACTTAGGAGTACTTGGTACGTATAGTACTTTTGTTCTCTAGCTTGTCTTCATAAACTTCTATAGGCCATTTGCAATTTGTATTTGTGCACATTCATAAAGAGTGCCAAAGACATGTATGTAGTGTAGCTTGCCTTGACAATTCTTCGCTTAACTTTTCAAAGCCACACCCTAAGGCACATTTCTAGAAAGTTAAATCATGCGACTTCACTATGTGCTGCAGGGCACCATGGGCCACGTGAGCCTGCACTTCCTGGAGCAAACTCTCGATAAGAAGCTGATGTCAAATCTCAGGGTGAGTTTGGTGACACAACGTAAAGTCGGTGTATTTCTTAGTTTCTTTTTTTTTTGTTTAGTTGCGCTCAGTTTTACTGAAGTTGGTGTCCAAGCTCTGGGCCATACTTAAAACCTAGTATTTGAATATACGGTCCAAAGTACCGTTACCCACTCCAAATGTAAGAAATTTATTCTGTGGCTCCAGTTCCCATTAGGTTTATATATCTGAAATGGCAGTAAGTAAATCACTATAGGAGAGAAATTGGTCATACACTATTGAGCTAAGCGACCCTTTCTACTGTTGAAACAACCATCCTAAAACGTGGTTTGTCTTTATGCCTAGGCAGCTAGTGCACTGCAGCATTTGCAGTAAATTTATAGTAGATCATGTTGCTTGCTTTGTTCTCTTGCACTATATATGTTTTGCTGCACCAACCTTGTACAAAGGTTGGTGCAGCAAAACATGTAATTTTTATCATCATACTCAGCTGGTGCAAGAATAAGGGAAAAGATAAAAAAGAAGCCGCAGGCAAATTATGCTATTATTTCTGTCATTGTGCATACTTGCATGGCTTCCGTCCCTCATCTAGAAAGTTTACGCTTAGCATCAATGTCTACTGACCCTGACGGATCATGAACTAGCCCGAGTGGTGAGTTATGACTTACCAATGAGTTTCGTTTCTGCTGTGCAATAGGTTAATTTACGTTTTACTGTATATTGATGGTCCAACAAACTGGCCTGTGTATGTTTAAGACCGCTCTGTATGTCGTGCCTCATGTTTTCAGTGCATGTCTGTTTAAAGAACTTTCACTACATTTTGCTAAACCACTAATGGTTTGCTACAATCTTGGCATAAGATAAGAAAGGTGACAAAGCCAATGAAGATTTTGTGCTGTGAAGGCTGGATCGCAGCATTGCTTTAATAGGGGAAAGCTACCAATGGGCAAGCCAGTGTGTTCATTCTAGTCTGGCATATCTAAAGACACAAATTTGAGAGTTCTAGTGTTGAGGACATCTACCCATGATGACTTGTTAACTGCAGTAGTGTCTTAGTGGCTGTGATATTTTCTTAGTCTCTTACTGTTAACAGGATTATGGGAGTCCTGTTTTTTTTTCACAGTGGCTGCACTCTGACCGAAAAAAAAATGCAATAATGTTTGTGGGCTAAACTTTGAATGCACTATCAAGAACGTCAAGCGATTGGGTTGTCTAGAAGTGTTACACTGCGTGGCACCCTGTGTTTCTTTGGGATGTGAGACTAAATTTGTCATTCGTATCGTGTAGGCTTTCTTCTAGAGTTGGCCACAGGGCAAAGAGTTGGGCAGCTAGCAAAGTTGCCTTTTCTGTTGTGCAGCGCAAACGTTCAGCGCACGAGCGGCAACGCGAGAGCTACGAGAGTGGCGAGTGGTCTTCAGGCCAACGATGGGCAGATGACGCACCTCGTGAGGAAGTGGATGCCCAGAGTGTTAGCCTTATGGGCTCGGGGGCCTGTGGGGCGTTTGTACACGGCCTTGAGGATGAGTTCCTCGGTAAGCATGCGAAACAGAACACCATGATGGCAGGAGACCTGTATTTGTGCTCTCTCTGGGGCTGTGCAGAAGTACGACTGGCATCTCTGGACTCCCTATGCCGCCTGGCATTGCAGTTCCCATCATTCGCAGCCCAGTCCCTGGACTTTATTGTGGACATGTTCAATGACGAGATTGAAGAGGTACGGCTCAAGGCCATTCAGTGCTTAGGCCGCATCAGCAACCAGATAGTGCTGCGTGAGGACCAACTGGAGACCGTCCTTGCTGTGCTCGAGGTGAGCCAAAGTGCCCGATACTAATGAGTTGATTCCTAAAATGATTATAACATGTTGTGATGATTCTCTGTACACTGGACGTAATGCCTATTACCTTCAGAGAAAAATAATAAATAGATAATCATGCTGCTAACTTCAAAATGGGCCCATTTTGTCTTGGAGACACATGACCACGTTCCCATCAACTTTGCTCTATCAAGCACTTGTTGCGGTGTTTACTAATATGCATTTTCGCATAACTTCACTTTTGTAAGCTCATTGTTTCTTTGTAAGTACTGTAGAATCACATTTTTTTCATAGGTACACACTTTTATTCAGAAGGTATGTCACTCTGTCGCATGTTTTAGAGTGTTCTCCAAAGAGGTTGCTAATAAAATATTGTTCATGAAGTAATGTGTTCACTTAAATTTATTGAGCTACTCAGCCGAATGGAAGCTCTTGTGGAAATACCTTATTTACTCCCATAATAGGCGCACCCCTAGTTTGGTCGCAGAATATTTGTTTTTTTTTAATTCCGTGCATAATAGGCGCATCCCGAACTTGGCCATGGTCAGAAACAATTCTACCCCACAGCAGTACTGTTGGAATGGGGTCCCCGTACCCTGAAGAAGAAAAGAAGACAAATCGAGGAGCAAATAAAAAAAATCTGAAGTGCAACGACGTAACCAACGTGTTTGACGAAATAAAACTTGTAAAAAAGGCGTCCATGAGCGAAAAAAAAAAGGGGGGGGGGCTCTTTCATCAATTACTGATACCCCCGAATCGCCGCGCTTCTTGTAGGTCACGTGTACAACGCCGGGGGCTCGATCCCCATCACCATCATCAGAGAAAAAGAAATGCATTTTGCAAGCTGTGTGCGTATGTTGTAGTCCTGTATTCAACTTTAGTTCCACCATGGGGAAGTACGCAAGCTACACGGCTTGATTTAAGCTGAAGGCAGTGCAGCGCGTGCTGGAGCATGGCAACCAGGCTGCAAGCAGGCATCTCAGTATTGGAGAAACCAGTATTCGATACTGAAGGGATTAAGAAAAAATACTTAAGGCGATGAAAAAGACACGACACGCTTTTTGCGGTGCCAAGACTGGCAGGTATCCGAACATCGTAGAGCAACTGGTCTGGCATATACGGGAGCCACGACGAGACGGCTGTGCTATTGTGCAGACTAAGGCGTGCAGAATATCCAGAGCGCAGCGCACCAAAGCAAAAGAGTTCAAGCCAGCTCTGTATGAACAACTCGTTTCATGCGGCGCCATGACCTCGCACTGCGAAGGCAGGTCACCTTGTGCCAGCACTTGCCCGCAGCATATGAGGACAAAATGGAGAACTTCCACCGTTATAAAGCTCTGACAGCAGAAAGACTTCATTTTGTCTCCGATCGGCAACGCAGATCAGACCCCCCTTTGCTTTGATATGCCGCGGAACACGACAATGGTGGAGAAATGCTCACGGGGTGTCATTGTCAGAACGTCTGGGGCTGACAAACAACAATGCACCGTAATGCTGGCGGTGACAGCGGATGGGTGCAAGCTACTGCCTCACGTATTTTTAAATGTAAGACGCTCCCAAAGGCTAATTTCCCTTAAGGCATCTATGTCAAAGTCCAGGAAAAAGGCTGGATGAGAGCGGAACTCATGCTGGATTGCGTGAAAACAGTCTGGGGTTGGCGGCTGGGTGGTCTGCTGCTCCCGTCCATGCTTGTCTTGGACAGTTTTCGTGGGCACCTAGTAGACCGTGTACAAGATGAGCTAAAGGAGCTGCGCACAGATCTGGCAGTGATTTCGGGCGGCCTCACATCGATACTGGAGCATTTGTATGTTTCCTTGAATAAGCCTTTCAAGGACAATGTTCGAAGGCTCTACACCACCTGGATGGCTGGAGGACAACATCAGCTGACTTTAGGTGGTAAGATTAAGAGGCCGCCTGTGGAAATGCTGTGCGCTTGGATCGTGGAAGCATGGCAGGCAGTCTCCGATGAAGTTGTCAGGAAAAGCTTCAAGAAGACGAGTATCTCAAACCCACTGGATGCGAGTGAGGATGACATGTTGTTGGGTACGGATGATTCAAACACCGAAAACAAATCCGCATTCGGCGAGGATGTATGTGTGCTCTCCAACTCGGACTCCGAATAGGGAAAAGGAAGAACACCTATGACTTTAGTGTAAATAAATTTTATGTGTGTGTGTGTGTGTGTGTGTGTGCGCAGTTGATGTCTCTCGCTTGTTCATTAAAAGGTACGTAGGTATGTTTTATGCTGAATTAATTGGTAAATGGTAAAATAGCCTTTTACATGACAAATGTGCACATTTAAAGCGCGAGAACGGAGTCGAAAAGATTTTCGAAATTTTACTCTGCATAATTGGCGCACCCCTAACTTCGAGCCGGATTTTCTGAAAAAGAAAAAGTGCACCTATTGTGCAAGTAAATACAATGATTGTTTCCTATGAAAAAATGGTGACAGGAAAAACGTGATTTTCTCAGTTAACTAAACATGACAATCTGGCTTTCTCTCACCTCCATCAAAAACTAGGCGTGTACTAATATTCAAGTTTTAAATTTCAAATTGAATGTCGCCTACCTTTTTGTACAACTTGATTCAACTTCGAATAGCTAGTATTTGAAATTTCGAGTTATTTGATGGAGCGAATACCGTATTTACTCAAGTGATAAACCTACCTTCTCTTTTTTTTTTAGAAAAGTTGACACCGATTTGGGGGAAGGGTTCATTGCGTGGGAGAAAAAAGTCGCAGGAGTTATAACGGCGAAAATTTTGCTTGAGGGCTTTGCTTGTTTTGGCCCGGGAAATGTGCAACAAATCTTTTTTGTAGCTCGAAGCTCTTTTTGTTTCCTGCTGTGAAGAAAGCACATGGATCGATGCCAAATTGTCGTCCAGCAGCGCGGTTCCCATGCTCCAGCACATGCTGTTTGTAACCAGCTGTGTAGCTAGCGTACCGCCCGAACATGCCCTGCGCAGCAGGTGTCTTAACTAAGTTCATAACAACAAACCCGAGACCAAAAAATGCAGCGTCGGATGGCAATGCACAAACGTGGGAGTAAACGTTGTGGGTGCATGATGCGCCAACGGCGTGGTGGGTGCAGTTGCGCTTTGCATGGCCTCCAAGATGGCGGGTACATGGCGTGTTTCTACGCCACGCGCTCGTTATTTTGGAGGCTACGTGCTTTGTTTTTGTGTCGCTGTGCTTGCGTGGCGCTATCAGCAAAGAGGATTCTCCTGCATTCAACAGATGGTGCTTTGTCGCAAAAGGCGCAATGTTAAAATCTTGATTGACGTCGTCTGCACTCGCGGTGCTCACAACTATTTAGCATGGTTGCGCAACTGTTTTGGCTTTTACTGCGTTGTTGCTTTGTGATATAATGGCTGTATTTAACATTCTTTCGATTGTTAATGGCACTTGTTATTCTACCTAAATAAGATGAACAGATACATTAAAAAAGTTTTATTATTTTTTTATTTTTCGAGGACCAAGGTGGGGGGTGGATTCATTATGCGAGTGGGTCCATTAGGCGAGCAAATACGGTATCTTACAGGTAACAACGGTCAGTGGTGCAACTTGGTTAGAATCGGGTGGATAAAACTAACACTAACGTCGTTACAGTAGCCATTTCGTTAAAACTACCCCCAATATCCTTGTTCAAAAGCGAGCACGTGTTTACTTACAAGGAGATTGTGTCATTTAAGCATGTAAAATAATAACATGTGAGAACGCTAAAGCCGTTCACAACTCCGCTGCCAAAATAAAGGCACGGATTTCTTGTGCACTTAGGTCGCATTTCCTACAAGCGCCGTTAAAGCGTACTGACCCCGAAATACTTGGTTATTGGCTTCACATATTAAAATTTGTTCATTCTGTGCATTAGTCACGACCACACTGCACCACTAGTTGCTCTAGGAACTCCCATCGTTCCAGTGCACAATTAAAATGTTACTGTGAACGGGTGCTTGAAGGTTTTTAGGCCCAGAGGACCCATGGCGACCAAGCACAACGTTACTGTTACCAGATCAGTGTATTTATTATTGTAGTTTTACAGCAGCAGTCACTCACCATGCTTCGTGCTCGAGTTCATTAGCAGATTTTATTTCTTTGTCCTTTGTTTCAACTTTCAATGAAATGTCTTGTATTTGATGTTCAATCTGATATTCTATATATTTGGCCACTATTCAGCACTATTCAATTAGAAATTAATTCAAGATAAAATTTCGCTATTCTCACACTCCTATCATAAATCCAAACCTCTTATAACTGGGATGGTGTAGTTTAGTAAATCTAAAGCAGCCTCTTGATTGTGCTGCTGATGCACAAGTACTATATACCGTTTTCACGGAAAGGAGGAGCGTAGCCTCAAACTGGTGCATTTTCTTCACTCCCCCTCTCTACCCACCATTCTGCCACTGCCACTGGTGTGTGGAGGTTGCTGCGTTTTGCATGCGCGGCGCTTGTGAAGTGAATGTGTTTCTTTTTTTCCCTTTCCTTTTGTTTGGTGTGTTAAAGCAGTTTTGCTGCTGAAAATCGAAATATCGGATGAGAACGTGTCAACAGGCTTCTATGGCGCTGCGTTTGGCTGCGACAACAGCTATCAAAAGCACAAAAGGCTGTCATGCAGCCGATACATGCGAGGTGCCCCTACTTTAGGAATTTTTTTACTTGGGTCACAGGCTTTCTTCTCCGTCAAATATTTTATTATGTGGGGTGTCTGCCCATGTGACCATTTCTTCATTTCAACATTTTGTGACTCTGGTAGGGTGCTGGTACACTTCATCATCTGCAGCAAAGAGAAGCAATGTCAACGCTGATTGCAACTGAGAAATGTCCTCAGTTGCAAGTCTATAGTAGTGCAGCTATTGACAAAGTGCCATTCTTGAGGTATAGCTCTAGTAAAGGCTTATATTATGTGGTGGCATCCCCTTTGACAGTGATGTGTTTAGAAATGGAGTGAAAAAAATGTCAAAGAAAATTTAAAACTTTGTGGATTAACTGAGCAATAAACAGAAGTCTGTTCCTTAAACTGTGGTTTCAAACTTACACCTTTTTAGTATGAAACATACTAATTATACGCTTGCTGTTGGTTGCTGTAAAAAACTGAGCTGTCCTAATGCAATCTCTACCACTACACCATGCAGGACTCATCAATGGACATCCGGGAAGCCCTGCATGAAGTGCTGGGTGGCTGTTGCCTGTCGACAAAGGCAGGCCTCAAGGCATGTGTGGACGCACTCCTGGACAATCTAAAGCGCTACCCACAGGACAAGCGCTCTCTCTGGAGGTACTGTTTCTTTTTTCTGATGTTTTATAACTTGGAGATAACCTTCATGTCACTATTGAGTTCAAGCAAATAAAGAAAAAGGAGGGGGGGGGGGGGGGGGCTTTTTTGCTTTCGATTTTAACGAAAAACCTTACTGTCTTCGCAATACATGTTGGCATAGCAGAACTCTATCGTGAGTTAATTGGTTAGTGACCTTCAAGCCATTGTTTTCTTTTTTGCGAGTGTGAAACAGGTTGGACAATAGATCAAGAGATGAAAACACACAGACGAATGCTGCCATTAGAAGCCAGTGCTCGTTTGTGTCTTGTTGTATTCTGGTCTCTCGTCCCACCTTTTTTGTGCTGGAAAAAAAAAAAAAAAGCTTCAATATCAGATTGTCCATATGTGCATGCACATCCACATTCAAATCCATCACAAGTTAAAGCATTTTTCTTCAGGTATGATAACGTGGGCATTCTGCCAGCATGGGCTGCTTATGCTAGTGGTTAGAGTGGTGTTTGATGGTGCTTTTTGTCGAGAGTTCGTGTTTACTTGTTCTTTCTGAAATAATGGCTATGAATGAAAACCAGTATGATGTCCACTTCAACAGAAAAACCATTTTGATGGCAGAGGAGCTGGGAGTTGACTGCATGGTAGTTGATATCAACATTCACACAATTCATCGATAATGGCACATTGTGGGCATCTGTCCCCTGAAAAAGACTGGCGAAGTGATCTCAGTGCTGGAAAAGTGCACCTTCTTGGGTGTGATATCTCACAAATGAAGTAGGCTTGGGCGAATAGTGAATTTGAGGTTCGAAGTAAATTCGAAGTGAGTAGTGATATTGGTTCAATAACTTTGAATCGAATTCAAATAGTGTATAGGTCACATAATATAAAGAAATAGGGGCATATTTGTCATGATCAAACCAACTTACACAATATTTTTTGAAAATTCAAACAAGGCCTGTGCAAAGGCCATTTTTTGTATCAAAAGAAGTGGAAACAACTTTGAATAGTAGCAGGATTTGACTTTCCATAGAATGCAAGTGAAAGACTGTAAAATATGTTACATTTTACAATTTGTTTTACTTAGAACATATAAGTCAGTATAACGAGTTCTTAAATAAAAAAAATTATTTGATGTGAGGGTGATATCTTCATATAACCTTGAAGTGGAGTTTCATGGCAGTGCGGATTTCTCCTGATTTTGTGCTTTCACGGCTCAGCATTACTTCACATCAGTGAAACCACTTTTACAAAAAGTTACATGTGAACTAGTATGTGCTTAGATAGGCGCTTTCACTGCTTAGCATTATTTTACTGCAGTGAAGCTGCCTTTACAGGATGTTACATGCGGATTAATATGCATTTGTTTGTTCAGTGAAGCTGTCTTTACAGGATGTTACATGCGGATTAATATGCATCTGTTCGTTCGTCTCGGATAGTTCTAAATCTTTAATAATTTGAATTCGATTCGAAGCAAATTCGAATATTGCATTATTCATTCAGATAGTTGAAGCATTTGAATATTTGCCCAAGCCTAAAATAAAGCTAATGTTTTTCTGCCACAGGGCCTTGCATCACATGCTAATTTTTTTTTTCATGAAAAGACTGGAAAGTAAGTTGAGTAGCATAGTGATTTGGGCAGTTTGTTGTGCATTCATTTTACACTAGAGTGCACAGACATGAGGTAGATGGCTCATAGTCATAATGTGGAATCTTTGGGTCTTGCTTTCGATATGTACCATATCCCATGGTCCCTGTCTGTTAGTATTTCTTGTTTATTTGACAAAAATTTGTTAGGTAGTTAGTGCTTTTGTGTCTGTCATTTGCTGTGTTCTTTGCACCGTGGTATGAAGTGAAAAGTCGCACGTTAAGCAGGGTAAATGAAGTGGTTTACTTATGGATTTTCATGGTTGTCATAAATACCACTTCTTGAAATATGACTGCAGGTGCCTACGGTTGCTGGGGCTGCGACATCCATACCTGACATTGCCGTTGGTTCCTGAACTCCTGGGCATTCATGCATTCTTTGACCTGCCAGAGCCTGATGTGGAGGATCCAGCTTGTATCCTTGAAATGAACCATGTTTCTTTGAGGTTTGTTTGGCCTGTAGCAAAAGCTATTTCATTTCCTTGACCTGGTGTTCCAGACATGAGCACGCTGATATTGGTGTTCAATGCAGCAGCAGGCTGTCCAACCATGGTGCCTTTGTTTGAGGAGCACACATTACGGCACTACTCGTACCTCAAGGACTCCTTCCCCAGCTTGGTGCCCCAGCTTAAGGTTCGTGCTCCTTACATGTCTTACTCATAAGTGCTGTTGAGTATTTTTCCATTTGCTGATGTTATGTATGCAAAGCAGGTTAGTCTGCGCTACATTTATGACCTCTCTAACAGGTACCAGTACCTCCTTTGCATTACTTCAGCTCAGTAGCACACTGACTATAGATCTAAGTGCTTCTGCAACCTGTTGAGTCATTTGTGAGCTGGTAGTTTGCCCAGAATGGTTATAAATAGGATGTCTTTTTTTTACCTTTTTTCTGTCATTTTTCTGTCATCTCACTACTGCATCATGCCGTCTGTCTGTGCAGAGTTAAATTAATCAACTGTGCAGTGTATGCTGCTGTTTTCAACTTGTTTTAATAGCGAAGCTGTTTAAGCCCAGCCTTAGTGCGTGATGTGAATACAGAAATTATCATCATCATGAACCAGCACACAATCTCTTCATTCATTTTTTCATCTTTGTTCTCTTCTGCTTCGCTCCCAGAGCAAGTGTGCTAATTTATCCGGCGTGGCCTGTATTAGCCATAATGCTTGAGAGAATGTGCACAGAGAGAGAGAATGAGAGAGATAAAAAGAGACAAAGAAAAATTCATGGAAAGGAAGATTCTTCACAAAGTAGAATTCAAACCTACGTACCCTTGATCTGAAGGCAAGTGCCCCAATCACTCTGCTATAGACGGCTTCAAGATTGCAAGGTTTGTATCCAAAAAAACTTCCGGTCACCTCATTTACCAGCTCCTAACGTCGAAACTTAAAGCACGTCTTCAAGTATACTTCAAGGGTAACAAAAGTCTCGATTTAGTTTTTCAGGTAAAAGGAATGTGTGGAAAGTTCAAGGGAAACTCATAATTTTTATGTAGCTCAAAAGAACATTTATCTGACTTTATTTTGCCAAACAAGGGAAGGAAAGTGTAGAAAGTTAGCGGGATATTTTTTAAAGCTCTTCATGACCAAAGACGCTAATAAGGCACATCGGTGGACAAAACCGGATGTCATCAGGGGCCTGAGTTTGTAAACAGTGAAAGGGTCTATACAGGCATGCTAGCAGAGCATAGCATAATTTTGTAATATAGTGTAGCAAAAGGGTGGGAAAAAGAAATGATCGTGTGGAAAAAAGATGTGATGATGAGGAGGAGGGAAAGGAGAAGGTGAGAGAGTAATGCATAACAGAAAGAATGAGAAAGAGAGAAGTAGAAAGAACGAGAAAACAGATAAAGAAAAAATCTGAGAAAAAAAAAGAAAGAAATAGAGTGAATAATTGTGATAGGAACAAATGGAGAGAAGCAAGCAAATGACAAATAAAGAGAGATGGAAGGAAGACAAAAAAAAGAAGAAAGAGAAAGAATTAGAGAACAGAAAAAAAGAAATACCTTGACCATCTCCCCAAAGGGAACCCTAATAGACGTCAGGCACTGGAGTTTTTTGTGGAGACGCAGCGCCACTTGTCGACACAGTTTTTAGTAGTGCAAAGCCCAACTATCTTACACAGTTTGCTGCGCAACCAGGTGCAACTACAGCGTGTGAAACAACGATTGGACTAAATATTAGGTTATTTTCGCATTGAACACTTGAAAAAGAGCTACGAGTTTCTCTCTGCTAGTCGGACGCGTCACCGAATCGCCATGAAATGCTTGCTGGTTCACTCGCCATAACTACGACAAAAACAAGAGCAGATTAAACAGCTTCGCACTCTACGAAAAAAGACCCCAGTCGACGCTAGTGTGGCGCTGTGAATTGCCACGGACGTAAAACACTTCAGTTTTACTGATTTCCACAACTTTCGCGAAGCAGAACAGAGAGAGTGCTGGATATGGGCCGTAGCGAACATGTTGGGTAAGTGAATTACACGCATTCTCTACAGCCGTTCACATGAGAGTGTAATAATGTAGGTCTCCTGTCGCTGTTATGAGTTGCCTTGACGGAGAACCGTGGCAACTGTCATTATGAAGCTTAACGGGGCCTCCTACTGCGGTGCGTACCATTCAGCAGTAGACAGGTGACGCGCGTGATGAACATCGCACACACCCCGACCACTGATAATCTGAAGTTTTCACCACCACACATGCTGCATTACGCACATAAGCCTTTCAAGGCTCCAAGTCCGGCTTTAATTAGGAAATGCGAACACGTACGTCAGAGAGGCAGATCGCTAAATAATCATGACCACAATCAGGTTTCTCTTGCCGTTGGTCTCCGCAATTGCTGTAGCTATCTCGGAGGCTTCGGTTTTGCCTTTTGTTGTACACCGATAAAGTGGATATGCATGTATCCCCATTTGCAGTATATACGAACGGATGACTATCATCAACAGGACATTCTAGCATGCGTAATAAAACAGTTCAACGTCCAGGAAGGAGACATCAATGAAGAATGCAGCAGCAAAGGCGAAAATCGTGAAGGCTATTGGTTCCGGAGAAAGCAAGCTTCGTACCACTGATCGTAAGATAGATTGCTCGTGTGTATGCACTTCATTGCTTTGGCATCATGTGTATGCCCAAGTTTAATGTATTTAGGCGTTACAGAAAGGACGTCGAAGTGCTTGCCTCGGACTCGATGTCTTGCGATGCTCGCTTAAACTTGAATTGCCAGTTACAGTACTCCGAAACAACTGAAACATCTTTTGCATTGTACCCGCAGTTCGTTTGGATGAGCTTCCTACTTTTCTGAAGCAAGGTTGGATTGAAACAAGAAGCTTGCCAGGTTTTTGATTTGAAGAATACCGCACCTCAAGACCAACGAAAAAGAAGGGCCTATGCACGTTCGCTTGCGGACGGCTTTCTTTGCACTGCCCATCTATGGCCGGCGCATTGATGGGGGCACTGGTGGCGGCGTTTTTCGCAGCAGTGCTCATGGTGTTGACTTGGTTGAAACGGGCATCGACGTTGGGTCTGGAAGAATGATTTGAAGCCAAACTTGGAGTAGCGTTTACTCGAGTAAACGATGTCGCCATTTGCGAACGCGCTCGGCTTCGCTAACCGTCGCAACGTCGGGGACGGCGAAGTGAGTCGTAATCGCATCGACGGAAGTTTTTGCAGGCGAAGGAGCATCGTCTTACGGCGTCCTCTTCATCGCCGATAAATGAGCCGAAAGAATGTTACCACTTCATGTGCGCTCGAGCATTGTGAGTAATGGAGAGAGTGAAGTGAGAGAGAGGTGATACATACAGACTTGTTTCAACGCGTACGTTAGGCATGCGTCAGGTTGGCAGTGTAGCGAGCGGCAGTCACGGTAACGGAGCGAGCGCACTGCAGGCTAGGGAGAGAATGACGTCAGTGCGCACTGCAAGGGGAGCGTGAGGTCACTCGTTCGGAGCATAGAGTTTTCTAAATATACACAAGCGGGAACTCTAGCGCTATTGTCTATGGAAGCTACACCGCACTGCGCTTCAGTGAGCATGAGAATGATGGGTAGTACACCGATTTGTCTAATCTTTGTAATTCTGGCTCCGTGTGTGTTCGTGTGGGACTGGGAATAGCTTTCTCACGAAACAAAAGTCACCAAGTGTTCAGCGATTGCGCTTGACCCCTTATTATTTTAGGCATGCCTTTTCAAATCGGGTCACGAAGTTCAAAAGGGTTCGTTGTTTTCTTCGAAACAAAACTGAAACACAGCAATAAACAATGCCACAAGTGCGATTCGTGCGAGAGTTTCTTCTAGGGAACTATAGGAAACTCTATGCGGTGCGAGGAACACTCTTCCCCAAGGTAAAGTAGCAAGACGCTTCTTTGTCTTGGAGGCCCTCGTTCTTGCAGCCGCTTCTGCCGGTAGTTTCAGGCTCTACAAAAGGGCAGATGGCAATAAATGAAGCTGCAAGTGGGATTTGCCGCCTGCAAGTACGAAGACTAGGCAAATACTTTACTACCCATCATTCCCATGGTTGCTGAACGATCGCAGCACGAGAGTCCCCTCTAGTTAATTTGAGGAAACTCTATGGTTCGGAGGGACAGTGCTACACAGGCTAGTCAAAGAGCTGCTTGATACCACTAGTGAGAAGCTACCCTAATCTTTTTCACTGCCAGTGTCAGCTGCAAGGACTTAACATTGCAGCACTTGCCTTGTTAAGTACAATGGTTACTTCTCTGTTACCGTAATCTTTTTCACAGCCAGTGTCAGCTGTAAGGACTTAACATTGCAGGACTTGCCTTGTTAAGTACAATAGTTACTGCTCTGTTACATCTTTTATAGGTAACACATTGCTAGCTGCTTGGTTTTGTCAAGGTATATAAAGTAGGTAGAACAGCTACGAGGTACTTCTGAGCAAGCAACAATCTGTAACTGGTGGCTTCTGACTGTTTGCATAGTCACTTGATTCCATGAACTCTCATTTTGTGGAAGCCTGATGTACAGCGATGGCTGGACATACTGAAGATGATTCTGCTATGCTGCATTGAAAACATTGAAACAACACTGTATCAATACACTACATGATGTGAATGTAAGTCATAGTCAGGGTTACATGCTTTGTCACCCAGGTAGAACCAACTGTGTTTGTGTTTCAATATATTGAAGAAACAATCGGCATTTTTTAGGTGCAAGTTATTATAGAAGTAAATATAATAACTCTAATCAACCTCCCATTGCACCCTGGTTAATGATGACCACATGGGGTTTATAGCTAAGTGCCTTAGTATCCAGGCTGTGGCAGTCATTTAGCACTGTCATTGCTATTGTGATGAAAAAATGAATGATGGGAATAATGCACATTATACCCTTGAGATGTGTGGCTGCAACAGAGCCTGCAGAATCCTTGGAAAGATGCTACAAAGCTAGCAAGGGTAGAGCACATCTTTTGTTCAACTGGACACCAGTTTTGAAATTTTCGCTCAAAAGCCATGTACTTAACTTGACTGTTTTTGGTTTACCAAGACCGATGTCACTGCATGTGTTTCTTACAGCTTCCAAACCAGCAGAGTAGCCCTTCAGAAGGATTGGCATCTTGCTCTCTGGCACAGTCACACAGTTTTTTGCACCAGGCACTTGAACGGGCATCAGCAGCTGAATTGCGACACCCTGCTGCCAGGCAGGGGTGGCTTGAGACATCCATTCGGTCAGTGGCTTCTCACCTGTTTGGCCTGCATGACGTTGGCACATACTAGTGCACAGGGACTATTGGTCGCACAGTTATATAACTTTACAGAGGGCATTCTTTTTTTTAAATGTGGTTGATCCCTTTTTCTGGAAATCAGTATAACACAAAAGTGAAACGTGTCTGTGTCCTTACAGAGGTAGTTAAGTGTTTATTGTGCATTGTTTTGCCACAAAGGCAAAGGAATGCATGGTAGAAAAACAAATTGCAAAGTCACACGAAGAACGACAAGCAGCTCAAAACTTGCAGCGCGCATCTCATCCAGGAAGCATGCACGAAGTGAGCATACACAGGATGAGTGTGGACTAACTGTCACAGCTCCATATTTGAGGCGCATTTAAGACAGAAAGAAAGACGCACGTAACAAATTCACAAGTACACACAGCACAAGCTCGAACAACTATCACAATTCTTACTTCTTTGTGTGTTAGCAGCGTGCTCCTTTTGTTAACGTAGCAGCAAGCGGAGTGACCTTTGTGCTCTCCCGAATGATGAGTCTGATAAACACATGCGCAGAAAAGGCCACACTTCGTGGAGGTGGCGCTCATAGAGATGCAAAAGGGGACAACATTTAGAGCATGTCCAATGCGAGCCCTTTGTGCCATCTTGCTACTGATTACAAAAACGCGCTGAAGTCGCGGAGCTCTGAGGATTGCCAAATGGTATATGGTGTATATAATGGCTAGCCGTTAATAATTTTGTCAGCATATGCTCCATGGCCTAGTGGTTAGCGCTTCGCGCTGCAGATTGAGAGGTTGCTGGTGAGACGCCCTGCGAGAAAACGTTTCCTTCTCTTTTTTATTTCTATGCCATCTGTTAGTATAAATTTTACATAATATCCGTGATGGAAATATGTCAGTAGAGCCGTAGTGGACTCTGGCATAAAACACTTGTGTGTTAAAATTTCTGAACAAATCAAAATACAGTTGAGAGGCATGCTTTTTTCATTTTTTGCCACATTAAGCAGCAACTTTTGGGCCTGTCGTCATGCTCCTGATGCCTCATATTAAAAAAGATAATTTACTGATATTAGAGAATGTCAGAGGATGCTTACAGCATTGTATTCCTGCACCTCCTTTTCAACAGTATTCAAAGTGGTGATGTTGGTGCAAGCTTTCACGGAGCCTCAGTAATATGAATGCTAGATGGCTCAATTTGGATCGTCATTATATTCACTGAGCTGCGGTGGTACTGACTCTGCTTGTGTCTTACATTTCCATGTGAAAAGGCCTTGTTTTTCTCAATAAATTTTAGTTATCAACTAATCCTGTTGTTTACTGGTCATGTTCGAGTTTTCTGATGAACATCCTAAATGCCAGCATTTTTAAAGTTGTTCTTGCTTCCTCCAAACAGGGACCTCCAGAGGCTTGCAGAAATAGAGCCCCAGCTAACAGCAGCTGCTAGCTGTGCCAGCTTGTACCTGCGATGTCAGCTACTGTTTGCCAAGGTCTGTCTGTTTAGGGAATGATGCCCCTGTTTTCAGCATTTCTCTGTCCTCACAAACTCCCAACCGTAGCCTTTTGTAGTTTGTGTAAGTAGTTTCTCCTGCCTCATATGAAATTGTGAGTTATAGTGATCTAGAGTACTCGCACCGACTACTGGCTACTGCAGGTTTCAGCGTAGAAGCCTGTGGGATCATGTCAGCTGTCGTCCTATGTAATCCAATATACACATGCCTGGCGCTCACAAAGCTTTGGGCACCCCTTGCCAAAAGAATTACATGGCATGAACAATTCTACAGTAAACATCTACACTTGAATATTTCAGCTCATTTCTGCCTGCCTTATTTTTTGCATGTTTATGTTTATGAACTAAAATGTAGAGGAGTGTTCCCTGCTTGTGGTACGAGGTGATCAACATCTGTTGGGATTAATCGGTTACCTGAGAAGAGGTCACCCATTAATCAAATGGCAAAGGATGTCTCAGGACATTGATAGGCTATAACAGACGAGCAGGAGGTAAATTCATTTGCTTCCAGCTTCAACAGCGCTTGCGACATAGTTGGAAATAGTGGTAGGGAGGTCAGGCCGCAATATACGACTGCTGGCACATTTAAGTACCCTGTGAAAACTGAAGTGGGCAGCAAAGGAGGTTTCGTGAAAAGCTTTGAGGACTTGTATACGCAGCTAACGAGAAAAAACTTGTGGGGATCTGAGGCCTGCAACCATTTCGCGGGTCTTTCGTCGTACGACCGCTCTCCTTTTCCTTTCCCGTGCACTGGTAATGGCGCGGGCACGTGTTCTCGGGGACTGCGAGAATCAGCGAGGACGAGCCACGTGTGCGCCAGAAAGGGTCTTTTCATTGTCGGCCAGTGCCCGATAAGCATGTGGTTTTCCTTCATCGACGGCCCCCTTGGGAATCGCCGGACTGCAGCCTGCCTGGGTGCCTAGGCATCCGCAGCGGGCGTGTTTACTTGAGTGTTAGCTTCGGTACCGTATGCTAAGCGAACAGCGGTGCCTAGTGCTTGGAAGTGGTCGCACCACGTCAAGCCGCACTTGCCGAAGGCCTACAGGTATGAGGTTTGCCCTAACTCTCGCGACCAGGCCCAGTGACTATCGTGAGAGTTTGCAGCATAGCCGCGAGGGACCTTTTCCCAACCTGCGTGTTTAAGCTTGCTATTGCCAGCTGCGACGTTCTCACAGTTTCCCCTTATCGTGAACGTTTGCGTGCGGGAGCCTTTGCTTTCCGCGTCCCGGTAGCGGTCGTTGTACTGTTGTTTGGGGTGCCTCCAAAGGCAATAAAGTGTTTGTGTACTGCTGTTTAAATGAACATTGTCTGTTTTGCTGCGCCGCGCTAAATGCTTTGTTAGTTGAGCGTGTGCGGAGCGGTGTGCTACATGTGAGTAGTTAACGGAGACGCGGCCCTGTGGCTTGCTAAGCCAGAAACCCGCGATGATCATCCGCTACGGTTAGTAGCGAGGTCACCACAAACTAGAGCCCACTGCTGTTTGTTGGTATTGTAAATATAATACAGCTGTGAAAATAGCAAAATTTTGGATTAGAATCGAATATTTTTTGAGTAGTTCGAAACGAAATTATGGAAAAAAAGTTGGAGGGGATTCATTATTATTAATGTTAATATTATTAATAACAATATTATTATTATTTGGTTTGTATGCATATAAAATATGAAGACATAGTAAATAGGGAAAGAGGGTAGAGGAATAGGAAGGGAGAAAGTCACATAGGGAAGATAAAACTCGTATACACAGGTCGCTTGATGCATTTTGCCGTACTGGTACTCAGCAACTTAGGCTTCATTTGTTAAAGCCATACACATGAGAATGAGCAGATTTTCAAAAAAGGTATTTATTTACCCCCCTAAATTATTGAACCGTTGGACCTAACAAGGGACACCTGAAACGCTTGGTAAAGCCAGTGCCTGCTTATGCAGATCCTGTCCAACAAGAGCTGGCTCAACCTGTCTGCAGCCTCACCCTTGCAGAGCAGCACTTTGAAGTCTCTACTCGAGCAGGCAAGTACACTTAGCCAATTGGTTTGACATATGTGTGGAACTCTTGTGGTTTTACAAGCTCGTCTTGCTGCTTTTGAATAGGAATATACCTCCATCGGCTCATTAAGAGAGAAAGTATGGAATGCTTAAACCAGCTATAAACATTCCTATTGATGCAATCATTCTAATTCTTGTAAAATGTGGCCACAGTGCTTGCAGAGTGCCATCGCACCTTGACTAATGTGGCCGTAGTCTTCGTTTGCAGTCAACAGTTTAATATATATTGAATAAAGTTTGTAGGTGACTGACCTCTGCTGCTTTGACCAAGTAACATGTTTAGAAGCTAAGTGATAATAAGACTCAAGTGCCAGGGTGCAAACATTACTGACCTCTGCTGCTTTGACCAAGTAACATGTTTAGAAGCTAAGTGATAATAAGACTCAAGTGCCAGGGTGCAAACATTATCAAGTAGTTCAATTATATTCGGGTCGTTTGCCAAAAACGTTGCCTGGTTTAAATAGCTGCTACAACATGGCGTCATAAGACCCTTTGTTTGCCTTCTGGCAGTGAGTGGCTAGCCAGGAAACAATGCAATGACAATTTTAAGCAAGATGAACCATACAAATCTGGACCACATTTTGCATTTCTATTATCAAAAACATAATTTATTCTTCTGCTGGTACATCAAAGTTGTGCACAGCCTGGCAAAAAAAAAAAAATTCTTATCAAGAAAAAAAAAAAAGATATTGTGACGTTGCTCCTGCTAAGTATTCCGCACTCATTGTATTCAGTAAATAAATAAAGATTACAATGTTCATGTATGTAGAAGAGGGTTGAAGAGCTGACGACTGTTCGCGATGTGTGCAGCTGCTGCAGCAGACATTTGTGCTGCAACACCAGTTCCTGGGCCTTGAGCGAGCAGAGGAGGGCGCCCTGCGGCAGCTTCGCTTGCGGGCACTTGCCCTGCAGCTAGTCGTTGTCATCCGCGGCAGCAATGCTTCAGCTTTGGGGCTTTGTGAAGCCTTTCTTGAGCAGCTAGAGAACCTTCAAGGGTATGCACTGTTACACACTCTTCCAGTGAATTCGCGTGTTCTGTTTGTGTGGCTGTTTTATGTTGTGGGAGTCTTGTAAATGTGTGCAAATTTCCTTACAGACTGCTTGGAACACACCACTGTTTTCTCATATGTCATTCTTTCTTCTATTATGTCTTTTCAGCATTCATACCACGGCAAGTTTTATGTGACAGATTTGAAGTTTCATCTTTCCCAGATTGACGCTATGTTCGGCTGCCTATGGCCCTTTCTTTTTATGTGCCTCAATGCTTGCAGTACTTCAAAGTAGACTTAGTGGAGCAATCAAGCCATGTGGCTCAGTATAAGTGCAGGCAATTTAACCCACACCGATGGGTACTCCCCATTCTACTCATCTGACATGGTGTTTTCGTGCTGCTGGGTTATCACTGTCGGTCAAAATCAAGGGCTTTTAACGTAATAAAGAGAGTTTTGAAAAAATGGTGAGCTTCAGAACATAAATGTGTAGTTCTCAAGTACTTATGCACTGTACAGTGGCAGGTGTGAAGTGTACCTGATATGCATTGCTTTTTTAATGTACTGCTATCCAAAATCAAAATAATGGTGGTACTTCTAGAACTCTTTGTACATGTGCCTGCAAAGCTGTATTAATGAACAGCTGGCCTAGCTCTACCTTGAATATGATGAACCTTGATGCGTTACTGCCCCCATATTTAAACTAAATCAACCATTACTCCACCCTTTGCTCTTTCGAGCAGTACTGTGAGCTTAGTTAGGCTAAAATATATGAGTTGGGCAGTCACCGGGCTCTCTTATTTACTACCTCTGGCTTGACCTTGGTGAGTGTGGCGCAGAGTGTGTTCAAATCCGAGTCAATTGGGCTGATTACCAGATCACACATGTATATGTCCCAATATGATAAGGTGTCCTCACGTTCGAGGTATCGAGAAATCCAGGTTTCCGCAAAATTACTTTTTTATTTGAGGCAGAGCTAAAACAAAGCAAGATATGTTGTTGGGCTAGTCGATTAATTGTTGCAAAAAGAATTTTGCACAGTTCTAATTTTTTTTTGGAACAGTGAAAACAAAAAACTTGTGGCGTTGACATTGCTAAGGAAAAGAAAGTTGACTAACCCTCACATTCAGAAACGCTCCTTGACTTGAACTTGAGTTGCCGCTGCCTCAAGGCAGTGCTTTTAAAACGTGTTTGTGCTGCCTTGGTACTGCCTACAGATAGTGTGTTCGGAACGTGTTTCTGCTGTATTGAAGGCGGTGGCAAGTCAAGTTCAAGTCCAGGAGCGTTTTGGACTATGGGAGTAAAGAAGGTTTTCTGTACTTAAAGGCATGCAGTAACCCTCTAGATGGTTGAGATAATGCAGGGAGCTTGAAATAACACAACTGTCACCTTTGGTTATGAGATTCTGGAATTCAATGCAGTTTCAAAAATTTTTGAATATTCATTTCTATGCTGGGTCATTCTCACATTGACCTTTGTATTAAAAATTGACCAACTTACCTTATTCAGATGGACAGTGAAGCAGTACAGGAATGAAAGGTACAACTTGTAAATGGTGTCCTGCTAACTCTGCTTGAATGTAGTTGGCGGTATTATGTTTCATAATAAAGTAAAGCTATTATGCCATCTAGCTATACTTCACATCTTTGTGACCATTGTTTGACTAAATTAGGAAAACATGGTAGCACTTGCTCAAGCACACATGTCATTTTTCTCGGTGACTCCACCGCACCTCAATCACTCATTTTCGCTGAGACCACGCTTCATTCTTACTCTACTGCTCCCTGTATAATGATCAAGTAGACTTATGAGTACCGTATTTACTCAAATGTAACACAACTTTTTTTCCAGACTTGTGCCACCATAAGTCGACCCTGGTGTTACAATTGATTAAATACGGTATGGCATAATTCGGGCACACATGAATGTATGAAGTTGTATGTGCCACTATGTTTGATGGTGTAAACAAATTAGAATTAAGATTGCATTGTCTCTGCAAGGTAGCACAAAGCTTCAAAGCATTTGTTCTCTCAGCCGCTGTGTCTGGCAGAAGCATAGTCACATGATCAAGCATGGTGGCACACATGGTGTTGCAAAAAGTACGTAGAGTGTGCCGACTATAGCCAGAAAAATGAGGCTCTGTCAAATTGAAGAGCGAAGAATTGTTATAGTGAGGCTAATCCCATTCTATAGATATCTGAATAGAAAAATGAAGCATTTCTTCACGTTTAATCATGCCATGGGGATGCTGTGTAAGCAGGTTCCTGGAAGTGCACAACCTGCAACCAGATGCATTCACGGCTGCCATGCTTCGTGAGGTGGATGCACTGGAGGAGCCCAAGCCTGGAGCTGTGGCACGTGTGTTGCAGCCCTTGCTGCAGGCGCATGCCTGCCCCACGCTGCGTTTCTGCTCTGCTCCGACCGGGTCAGTTTTGCTTGTGCTCGGTTGCTGCTGCTTTGGATGTCTGCTACTTGCCATAAAAAGGCATTTATTTATTCTAACATGTTAGCATGAAGGATGGAAATTATAACTGCTGTCAAGTCTAGTCACTTGTAAATCTCAAAGCCAATCCCCTTGATGCAAACTTATACCTGTGTGAGAGAGGTGTACTGCATGGGCAAGCAGGGTCGTACAGTAGAACTGGAAATGCCTAACACTGATTTGAGAGTTGTTGACAACTGTCAACAGCAAAAGGAAGCTGTTGGCTTAAAGGTTTAATGGCTGACTGACTGCCATTGCGGTATGTTTATGTGTAGCACTGGGGCCTTTGCATATTCTTCAGAATATGAAATTGCCAAAATAAAAATCCATTCAGAAACAGTATAACAATGCTGTTAAGCTGTTTTAAAGTGTATAGACTTTTGAAAGGGAACTTGGTGGTACTTTGTAAGGCTTTAATCCCAACTTTGGAGAGATTGAAAAAAAGAGAGCTTTGCCATTTCACGTGCGTTCATATTCTTTCGTGAAAGAAATAGTTCAGGCAGATGTATCGGTGACGTGGACTGTTAGAATATTAACCTAACTAATCTTGTTTCTTCCTGAATAAATGCTGCAAGAAAGTCACATTTCAAGGGTCCATGTACTTCTAGCGCAATCCAAGTCACTCTCCCAAAAGTGAGGGGTTGTAACGTTTGCTCATAGCCAGTAATTTTTTTCAAGGTAGGGGGGGGGGGGGGGGGGAAAGGCAGGGGGGGCCACTGGCTGAAGGCCTTGTCTATTCGAGAACACACTTTTCGTTGTTTATATTCAGTGAAATACTGCCCTTCATCAAAATTTCAGGAAGGGGGTAGGGCACCTTGGGCACTTTTCTGGCTACATACAGGCCTGGCCATCGCCATACATCACTCTGGACAGCCAGTGCAGCAGTTCCTTGTGTAAAACGCAAGGGCACACCGAGAAACTGAAAAAAGCCAGATTCGACTATGGGAAAGCATAAGAGAAGTGCACCAAACTTTAATCGTGATTTTTCAAAGCTCATTGGGCTGGACCTTGTTAATGAGCTTGATAGTGAGCGAAAAGACATTAGTTCTGGGTTTAATATTTATACTTCAAATTATTGTACAGTGAAGCTGTATATTGCTAGGGTTCCATGTATTTTTCCTGTGCGTCAAAAGAGACGGATGTGCCACACGAATTGGACTAATGCCAGCACTCACCACAGGTATGCTAAAAGTGAAGGGAGCACATGGGTGGAAAATAATTAATAATTTGTACGAAACGCCCTGCGCATTTAGCAAGTCAGACAACGCAATGCATGTCCTGGCAAAGAGATGCATGCTGCTCAAGTGGAAAGCTTTATAGAAGCATTGGCTAAATAATTAAAAAAAGAAGCTGTCTGGACAGGCATTTCAGATTTGGTTGCAGGGTGTGTGATTGGCTGTGGTTCAATATTCTGTGTCGTGTGCTGAATAGCTTCGCTTGTCACCTGCCTTAACGGAGGGGAATGGCTCTTTTTTTTATTGTATACTAGGATGTTCTTTCTTTTCTGACAATTTGTATTTTCTTGTAGCATCATAGGGGCATGGCAATTTTTCTCTTTCGTGAACTTGTAATCCATGGGCCGGATGTTCTATGTTCAAGTGATCTGTTTGTGAATGACGATGAATGGCCTTTTTCGACATTAATATATCTTATGCACTATTGTAATTATAGTTGCACTGAATGCCCAGATAAATTAAGTATGATGTATGGTAGGTGATTGAAATTGACAGCACCTTGTATTTGTTCTACTCAATGTTGCAGTAAAATAGAGATGCAGCAAACCGTTTGTACATTAAAAACAAGGTCATGATCGATGTCTTGTATGTGTGGGAAGCATTTCTAAGGGTGCTGAGCAGTTACAGACTTGTTGAATAATGTCCTACTTCTTGTCATATCAAGGACATGGCTCGTACAGCTGCCCAAAATCGTAGCTTTGAAATTATCCTGTCTAGAAAGATGCTGATCTCCCGCACAGGGCCCAACAAAATGCGGGGCTGGAGCGCATTAAGCAAACTCGGGCTGTCCTGTATGAGCCTGCTGGAGAAACTGACCTGCCACAGAAATTCACGGCTGGCCTCGTGCTGGCAATCACCCTGGATGCCGAGATAGAGAGTGTCCAGGACATAAGGAACGTTCGTGTGAAGGTGAGTAGACAAGAACAAGGCTGAGAAATACCTAGGCATTTACTAATAGTTCTCATAACAACCATGAAAGTTTTCTTAATGGCAAATTTATTACATGGGCATTTCAAAAACAAAAATGTAGGTGTTTGTGATTATTATTGTATTTAAATTCACTTCAATTTGAAGTTAAATTGTTGAAAGTTTCAAAGTATTCAAAATGAATGAATAGATATATATTAGTCCGCATGTACCCTTTGTAAAGGTGGTTTCACTGTGGCGAAATGGAGCTAAGCTGTGAAAGCACATATTCAAAAAAAATCTGCACCGCCGCAAAGCCTCACGTCAAGGTTAAAGAAACATAATACCCTCACATCAGTTCATAACTTTCCAAATTTAAAAGCTTGTTATACTGGCTTATATGCTCTAAGTATAGTAAATTTTAACATGTAACATATTTTACAAGTAGTCACTTGCACTCTACCAAAAATCAAATCCAGCTACTATTCAAAGTTATTTCCACTTTTTTTGAACCAAAAACAATGGCATTTGCATAGGCCTTCTTTCAATAAAAAAAAATACATATTGTGCTGGTTGGTTGGATCATGACAAATATGCCCATTTTTCTTTGCAATATGTGATTCGAATTCGATTTGAAATTATTCGACCAAAATCACTATTAGCTTCGAACTGAGAACTCGCTATTCGCACAAGCCTACAAAAAACAGCTTTTATGAGTGCAAACATGTTACCTTTGCCTGAACTGCTCTTTTCTTTTTTTTTCCTGCTGACCCAGCATTTCCGAGGCGACAAAGCACTCGTAAAATGCTGGAGATGGCTTGGTTATTTGATCGCACGCTCAAGAGCACGATAGCAGTGGGATGGTGCTCAGTTCATTGTTATCTTGGTGCCTTTTTTTTTTCTTCTTCCTATTTCATGTGGTTTCTCTGCAATGTGGGACTCTGTCAGATGTATCATACAGAAAGCAATTCATTCGGTGGTTTCTGAAGCTACCCTACAACATTGTGTTCATACTTTAGGTCTTCAGACAATAATTAGAAAAGTGAGTACTTAGACATAATAATGAGTAACAGATATTAATCAGATAGTAACAGATGAGTAATCAGTAACAAATAGCCTGAGAAACTATAGACTAGTGCAAATAGTATGCATTTGGTTTAATTTCCAGTCCCCCCTTAATTGATTGTCTTGATCCAAACTTACATAAGACAACCTGTGTGTACGTGCTCACACACGCACCCGAAAAAAAAACAGTATACAAGGGAAGCAGACTGAAACAAACCAGCAAACAATCCACCGCTATTACTTCAATAAGTAATAATTATTGGGGTTTAACATCTCAAAGCCACCATATGATTATGAGAGATGCCGTAGTGGAGGGCTCCAGAAATTTCGATCGCCTGAGGTTCTTTAAACGTGCACCCAAATCTGAGCACGCGGGCCTACAGCGTTTTCGCCTCCATTGAAAATGCAGCCGCCGCAGTCGGTATCTGATCCCGCGACCTGCTAGACAGCAGCCGAGTACCTTATCCACTAGACCACCGCAGCACGTTTACTTCAATAATGATTTATGTCTTCCAGCTCGTGTGTACGGTAGTATAGTTTTAAGCCACGAGTGCGGACAATGCATGTATGAAATAAAATACATACTAGGAACGGTGGTCCACTTGAGCAAAAAACTGTTACGGTATTCTATTTTTTTCTTTTTTGCTTTGAAGTCAAAAATAGGGGATGTAACATTCTGGTTCAGTTCTGGTTTAAAATAAAGAAAGTTTTCTGTATTTTCTTTCTTTAGTCACCCTATTCAAAGGTTTCTAGAGCTCAGTTATCAAAACTCCGGTAATTTTTCAAGGTGCACCTGATCACTCTATACTGAATATAGAACTGAAATAAAAAGAATTTTAGTTTTAGAGAGAACTGGAAGTGCACAGAAAACATGGACAAAAGAAGGCACACACATACACACACCCAGGTGCTATTTGCATTGAATAAAAATTTTTAAAAATTGTGTGCATGTTTTTTACATGCTTTAGTTCTCTTGAGAACTAATTATGTCCAAGATGCCCAAACTGTCCCTTGGCAAACACTTCCAAAGTTATTTTTCTGTTTCTGCTGTTAATCTTAAGTGTCATTGCACTAGCTGCTATGGTTCGGTGTGTCAATGTTTAGCAACATTTGGAGCAGGCATTTTTCCCTGTATCTAGTTTCAATAACAGCTTTGCTGTAAAGAGATTGTGGTGCTATATTTGTGTGGATGCACGAATTTTGTTTTCGGGCTGACACATACCCATTGGACAGCTTCCTTCTTGTAAGGAATTGCACATGGTAGAACTATTGTGAAAAAAGAAAGCTTTGGACTTCTGCTGGATGTTTCTAGACGGATTTATCAGCTGTTATATTGGACCTTGCATGGTCATTAAGCTGACCCAGTTAATTGCAGCATCTCACCCCTTAAAGTTCGCTCTTTTGACTGTTGCCATGAACAGGGATGGTGGCTGTCTCTCATTTAACCCTTTCGCTCCTGTGAAAAAACGAAAATTGTACCAAATATTCGGGAAATTTTTCTCGCTCAGCTTGTAAGCTTTTTTTGGGGGGGGGGGGAATGGTGTCATTTTTTCGATTCAATGAGGTTCCTTTATTTCACTAATTGCATAAAAAGTATAAGTTGAAGTTGGCTTCACTGCATGGCAATATCATGAAAGATGGCTGTAAAATGAAAGCAAAAACACAAATGGCTCAACATGGACGAGTTTGCCATCTAGCATCAAGAAATGCAACTATGACAAGTACAGTCGCTGTTGTTTTCCTGTGGGACCAATCCTTGTTGAAGACGAGTATATTCATCCGTCATTTCAGTATAAAATCTCACGTTGAATATTTTCGTCAATGGTAGCCAAAGGGTTGAAGCTGTTGGCTTGATGCGTCTCACAATACCCTAGCGCAGCAGGGCAGTTGCTTCCTCCACGAGAGGGCAGTAGTGCAAGTGCAAACTGTTGACTCATCGAGTCATCAACTTTGCATATCATCACTTGTATATTTTGCTAATTTTTATGTATCATCATCATTGTTTGATAGTCGGGAATTAAGCAGTTACTCCTAATATTGTGCTCTTTGATTTCAGGTGAGGTATCCAGACAAACAGGTGCAGCTCATACTGCCTCGGCTTGCCGATTTCAGGCAGTTGGAAGATCTCAAGTACCGGCTCTACACAACTGTGTTACTCTCACATGGTGTCTGGTCTGGTGAGACTGAGGAACAGCACATTCTCCTGCTTTTTCACTCTTGGACCCCATCAGATCATTAGATTATGCTTATTGTGGCAGCTGGCAGATCATATCTTTAACGTGCACTTCTATGAGACTCCTGTAGCACAGCATTCACTGAATGTTGTGTTTTGCTGAACTTCATACGGAGCAGTGTGCTCTGTGCAACTGTTGCCCATTTATTTACTTTTGAGGGTAGGAGCTTAGTTCACTGTATGCATTAGTAGGACAGTTTCACTTTATAAATTCAAGTTTTATACTGTATACTTGTGAGAATGTCAAAGTAAATGAGCTTAATTTTATATAATTTTATAATAACAAAGTTTGAGTAACTTGAGTTTGAACGCATGACGATCAAACAGGTCAACTTTAATAGACGCATGATAGGAAACCCAAGCTGTCTGACTTGAAAGCAACTATCAAAGACAAGTGCAGTAGGAGCTTCATACCTAACTGGACAGGTACCTTTGTGTCAGCATCCTACTTCTGAGCAAGTTATTGTTGCAAATACTGTACTATACTATTATGCAGTGTTGCCAGAACACTTCAGCATGTGAATGAAGTTTATCTTTCTTTTAACTGTTTGAGGACCTTTAGTTCAGTCAGCAGTGCAGAATACCTAGAGCAGTATTCTAGAGCTGTCTCTGATGCAGTGGCTTTGAAATCGACAGTACATGCAAGTAGCACACTGTGTGGAATGTGTGCCTCGCTCTTTACTTATACCTGTTACTGGATGACTCTTTGCAGAGGCACTGCACGTCGAAATGGGCCTGGTGCTCGACTTTGCTGACACCGAGGTTCACAGCAAGGGGGCCCAACGGTCAGGCCTTGGGCTTCGCTCTGAGGACCACACCATTGAGCTGTGCAAGCCTGTGCGCGTCTACATTGCACCAAAGCCTATCAAGAGGGGACTATGACTGAATGTACAGATTGTTATTAATTAAATGTTTTCTCATGCCTGTCTGTGCCCAGAGCTCTTCCTTAATGTAAAAACAATTAACAGCATAATTTCTATTCAAATCAGGGAAGCTCCTTAGGTTCTTCGAGTGAGGTTGCTCCTTGTTATCATCAATTTCAGGCTAAGTGTTGCTACTTCATTTAGTGGTTTATAGAGGGCTATAAACAATGCATTTACCAGTGCAATGAATTAGGACAAGTCCATTGGTCTTGGCCAGCATATAAACTGTTTAATGGCATGAAACTCTCGTTAATTCAGTCATATTCGGCCGAAACCTGGTCAACTCGGACAACCCTCCAAGCGCACCAAGCACTTCAAATATGCAACTTATAGCAACAAAAATGGTGTTCATGGACAGCCAAAATGGTCGCGGGCTTTCAGAAAAGCATGGTCGCCATTCACAATCACATTGTTGGTGTGTGATAAGGTACGTGTTCAGAGCACATTTCGGCTCAAGACAGGTGGGGGGGGGGAGGTCTTGAGCCACATTCGCACTTTAAATCATGTAGCAAATGATAAAAATTGTGGCTTTCGCACTGCTCTTTTGCAATATAATTATTGGATTTATGTGCATTCCTTAGGAAAATGATATGAAAGTGCATTGAATTTAGACATTTATTGATTTCTTGATAGTTTCGATAATATGACATGTGTTCATTCGGACGGCTTTTCCAGTCTCGTGAAAATCTAATGAGCTTTTACCGTATTCCCCTTGAACACACTCTGCAAAGGCTGTTTGTACCCGACCCTTGTATAACTTGCATACTGTGGAGATATGTGTACTGTGATGTCCCTGTGTGAAACATGTCTCTGTGTGCAATATGCGCAGCTTAGTCAACTATACAGTTGGCACATTATCACAGAAAAGAAGTCATGAACACTTTATTTCCCCAACAGCAGTGCATTTAAATTGCCGCTCGAAGGCAGTCACAAGAATGGGATAGGCCTCGTTGATAGTTACTACTCGGCCAAGTTCCCGACTTAGCGACGTCACTCCTTTGTCTTTAATGCCACAAGGCACGATGTGGTCAAACCAGCTGAGATCTGTGTTGCAGTTGATAGCAATGCCGTGGGTTGTGACGTACCTGCTGCCATGAACACCTGGAAGGAACATTGTAAAAGAGAACCGAAGGGCACTGTATATACTAGTGGGTTCAGTACAAGCACAGCACAAAGTGCAATTATTTTAGTGTAAAATGTCTTGGTCTTAAGATACCTTAAACAATATTTGAATGTACACATTAGCATTCAAGAAGAACAAATATAGCATACCCAGCGCGCCGGTAAAATCGGCACTGCACTGTTGCAAGCTTGGTTTGTGCCAGTGCATGGCACTGTGCTGTGGACTAGGACTATTGCTGAAATTGGTCGTCACGCTAATTTAACATCTGCATTCCCTCCACATCCCTTAAATTTTGTGTCTGTGTTTAGAGACATATATAGTCGGTTACAACTTTAGAAGTCAGCGGCATTTCCTCCTCACAAGCGAATGCACACAAGCGTGCACCAATAGGCGCGTATTCCACACTGACGTCATGAGTCGAACGGCCGTTGGCCCCGCCTGCTAAGAATGTTCCCGAGAGGAAGAGAGGGACAATTTGTTTAGTCGCTGATGTATCAAACCCGGGCTTCGTTCGTCTGGGCGAGCCCTTTCCCAAGTTCTTAAAGTTGTATCCGGCTAGCAGAATACGTTGCTTAAGTTTGAGAAATGTTTTCAGTGGTCCTTAGGAATATCGTCAAAACGTGCTGTTTATGCGATCAAGTCACTCAGCCCTTCACTCGAAACATTTCGAAGATCTCTCTCCGGTGGAGAAATGCGATCATAAAATTTATTTACCTATTGCAGCAATTTTATTGTCTCCTATCCAAACGCCCGTGTGCTCCGTCGTTTTTGCTTCAAGCTGGAAACGCGTACAGAAGTCGATTATCATCTGCTCGAGGCTGTGAACATACGAGCGCATGCTTTTGTCCTTGAAGAAAGAGCCGAGGTAGAGGATGGGATAGGCAACAAGTTGACCTGGTCCGTGAAACGTCACCAGACCGCCGCGATTTGTTCGCACAAAGTCGGCCTGCAATTTCCTCAGCCTTTCTTCGACTTCGGCCGAATATTGCTTTGATCGGATCCCGACGGTGTACACTGGGTCGTGCTCGACAAGAAGAACTGTGTTGCCCGATACCATGTCTTGAGAATGACAGGCAACTTCTTCCAGTAAGGTGCGCGCCACTTCTTTCTGCATCTGATAAGCTTGAGTGAAGGCCATGCGGCCTAGGTTTTTAAACTTGACGAATGGCTGTGAGCCCATAACCTTGTCGGAGCTATGACACTGTAGCTTTGCTACACCAGAGACTGCACGATAACACCGCAGTACACCGGTAACACGAGCGCATAAGCAGTACGTGCACGTTGTACTACATCACTACTACATACATGACCCCAACGAACATAACATTCGTAATCGTCTGCTCCGCATAGAGAAATATACTTAGGTAGTATATTTAGTTTCTCTGTGTGCTCTGTACGCTCGGCCGTAGCCGTAGCCAGGCTTATGGACTGTTCTGGTTTTCAAGAAACATGCCAAGTGAGCACAGCCAGCAAAGTTAAATACAGCCATTGAATGAAAAAACCTTTGAGATTCGTTTTTGCTGTTAAAAACATACTGCTAAAAGTTAGTGTGCTTACGACTTAATCAACAGCCTAAAATATTTTTTTTGGGGTTTTTAGGCGTTTGTCGGTTGGACAGAATCGTTTGTGAAGAGTCCGGCAGGGGACGCATAGTTTGCGTAACCATATATGGCTCTGCATTGCCCGGTTTATAATTTTCGGACGCCGCCGTGTTTGAAAATATCCGGCGTTGATTACGCGAAAACGGGTGAGTTAATTAATGTAATTCGCCGCGTAAGCGCGTAATATTTAATTTTTGCTTGAGCAGATATTAGCGCGACACATTGGTGTCAGAAAACGCAGCTGTAGCTATGCTAGCCAGTCGCCATTTACGATGCACTTCAGCAACGCACAAACTGTTTGTTTGATTGTTTAATTGTTTGCTCCTTTCCTTACTTTTTATTGTTTTAGCTATGTTTTAGGCCTGCCCAGTTACACAAAAATGGCCAACGAAAGCTCAGTTGTTGGTGGTTCCTCAATGGTGAACGGTTTCAACGCCAACGGTAAGTCCTGAAACTACGCGCTGCAACGACTGTCAGGTGCATGAGCCTTGGCCGCTAATTTCTTGCGATTTATTTGTCTTCCAGAAACCCTGAGCTGTCGAGGATACCCGAAGCAAAGGATTTGTCTTGTGGGCTCACTCAAGGATAACGAAAGCGTTGTGCAAGCAGCGAAGGTGATTTGGATTCAGTTTAATTTTTAGCGGAGCTGTGTACTGTAGTGCTTACGTTCCAAGTCTTCAGCTGACTATGGGTAGCCGAACAAGCTACTTCTTGTGGCTGTTTCCCGGATTCAGAACTTTGTTTTTTTATTGCGCTGCTTCAAACTCTGTTTCCTGTTCGCGCTGGGCATTCCTCTTCAGTAAACCAATAATTCCGCTCGCGGCCTGGGGTGTAAGCAGTTCTGTGGCAGTAAACCTTTATTACGTGTATTACCGTGACTTATAACTGACAAAAGTAAAGGGCTTTCATGAGAGTATACCTTAACTGATAGTTCGGAATTAAGAATGTCTGTATTTAGACTTAAGGTATGTTTTTATGCCAATATTATTCGTTCATTCAGCAATGCTGCCGGTACCATTAGAGATGATTATAGACAACACACATATTCAAGTTCAGCGAATATTAAGTTGAAACATAGTGTGTGTGTGTGTAGTATATATATATATATATATATATATATATATATATATATATATATATATATATATATATATATAAAGTGTGTGTGTGTGTGTGTGTGTACACACACACACACCCAGTGATCACTAAAACATAACTCGAGTACTTCATATGTTACAAGGGATGTAGGGTACCACATTTGAGCACATTTAATGTAAAAATAACATGAGACTCCTTATGTACAAATGCTGCTCGGCACACTAGTAATGAAAGGACATTTGTAAAGAGCACGACATCCATGTCGAATTTCGGAAAAGACATAATTCAGCACCTAAAAGGGGCCCACTTCTTGGGCATATTCCTATTTATTAGTGTGCAAATACAAAATGCTGCTGCAATGTAAATAAGGAGATAAGGCCAACAGCTACGAAGCAAACATCAATCTGTCAGCTCACACAAAAAAAATACACGTTGGCCTCGTTGCAACCTACAAGATCTGTTTTGCTGTTAAAGGGGTCCTGCAACACTTTTTGAAAATGGTCATAAAACAGTGCTCATTGGTAGTGGAGGGCCCTGGGAACACGTGAGCCGAACATTAGAGCACATCATCCAGTGTGGAAATAACAATTAATTCTTAAATCCAGCTAGGAATTGTTTCCTCTTCTCTCAATAAACAATGTCATAAACCCAACCAGGTCATAAACCCTAAGTCCATGATCATTGGCTGATTTGAGCATTGTGAGCTACATAGTTACTATAGCCATCATTCGCCCAATCACGCTAAGTAAACCACTAGGACCGTGCGAATAGTGACATTGCAGCTTAAATCGAATAGTGCCAAATAGTGGCCAAAAATGTGCATTATCGCATACAGTGGATGTAACTAAAAATCGGAAGAAAGAACTCATAAAAATGAAATCGAATGTTACCCTTCTGAAATTTTTATTACGTACTTGTTCGAGAGCTTTTTTTTTTCCCTTCAGCTTTTATGAATGCTCAGGCACGTTGATAGAAAGAAGCACCACTCTTTTGGTCGCACTTCTAACCTCCCAATGGCTAGCAGAGGGTAGTACGGTAGCTTTTTTTTTTCTTTAGGATCTCGCAATACGGCTCGCCTGAGAATAGTAATGTTTTGCTTTATTGTCCTGAATACTCAAACCCAAAAAACCTATGGATGACCATTCACAGCACTGTTTAAACTGCGCGTTGGAATGATGGGTGTTTCTGTACGAGTGGTGTGGTGCGACAGTGATAACTGCACTGTGTTACTGAATTCTGACATTTGAAGCCAATCGCATATGATTTTGTGGGCCAAAGTCTGGATGTTTTAGGATCTTGCACAAAATGGGACCCAACTGTGCAAGAAGTCAGTGTTTTCTTTGCTGAAGTAAAGTTGCCAAGGGCTCAACAGTTCATGTGTTATTTATTATCTGCAGAAATGACAGAAAGGCTGCCTAGTATAACGACATCAGTATTAGTATTAGCCACCCTACCAAGTTATACCATAGGCCTTTGTTGCATTTTGAATATTCATACTGTCAAATTTGAAACCTTTTATACTAGCAATTCAGAAGTCTAAACAACTTAATTGATCAGGAATCATCCTATTTAAATTTGAAACTGAAATATTTACGCACCTCTACAAACCGTCCATTCAAAGAAAAAAAAAAAAGTCCTCAAGATCATGAAGTGCTGAAGAAAGAGGCGCATCTTGCTCCCTTGTCATAGCCCTCTCTTAGTACCTTTCAACATTCTCGCTGATTAAAAAGGAGAAAGCACTAGAGACTTGCAACAAATTTCTGTAACTCCGCTTGTGTCTGATGGGTTCTGGGAGCTTTTGCAGGAAACACTTCGTGATGTAGTGAACTCTTTTACTGAAACCATATAACAATTTCTTAAAGAAGTATAGCAGCGCCCTCTTAGCTTCCAAGCGCAATGCAGGCTGTGCTTTTTACAGTAGAGATAAAAATTTACTCGCATATAACTTTGCAAACTGAGTATTTTATATTTGCCAGCCTGACTGGGTCTTTCAGTCATTAACCTTAAATGGCCATCAGCAGCACATTTCTGCCGAGTACTTCCCCAGTATGCCGTAAATGTGGAGAATTGAGTATTGCTACTATACTCTCGTTTCTTCATTGTCTTTGACTCAGTATAAGGAAAAAAATGTAAATATTTCCTTGGCTATATAGTTGATTGGTGATAAGTATAGGTTGGCAAAGAAATAAAAGCTCACTCAAGAAATTTATTTTGCTCTGAGGACTCACTCGGGCTCACCACAATTTTCAACCAGACTCGCAGCTTGACCTGAGTCTAAGTGAGCCCGAGTGAGTTGACTCATGAAATTGTTAGTGTAAGAATGCCCTGCCGCGGTGGTCTAGTGGCTAAGGTACTCGGCTGCTGAACCGCAGGTCGCAGGATCGAATCGCGGCTGAGGTGGCTGCATTTTTGATGGCGGGGAAAATGCTATATGCCTGTGTGATCAGATTTGGGTGCACTTTAAAGAACCTCAGGTGGTCCGAATTTACGGAACCCTCGGCTACGACGTCTCTCATAATCATATGGTGGTTTCGGGACATTAAACCCCACATATCAATCAATCTGTTAATGTAAGAATTAGCTTTTTCAATCTAGGTGTCAATGCCCTTATCTTGCACCTCAAGCAGTCTATGCTCTAGCGTGCGCCTTTATATTTTGTACCTTCAAATATAAGTTATCTGTGGTTTCAATCAAGGAAGTGCATTTTGTGAAATATGTGACATGCACGAAATATCTCTATCAGGAAATCCGTCTTAGTTTGGGGGGAGTTCATGGTGCCCCTGCCCTCCTAACAGGTGTCGTGGGTCAACAAAATGAGGCAGTGCACTGTTGAAGTATATGTGAAAAGACTTTTGTATAACTTAAGCCGCTATAACACTGATGCTAATGCTGAAGATTAGATAGGATCATGAGCCCCGCCGCAGTGGTCTAGTGGCTAAGGTACTCGGCTGCTGATCCGCTGGTCGCGAGTTCGAATCTCGGCTGCAGCGGCTGCATTTCCGATGGAGGCGGAAATGTTGTAGGCCCGTGTGCTCAGATTTGGGTGCACGTTAAAGAACTCCAGGTGGTCGAAATTTCTGGAGCCTTCCACTACGGCGTCTCTCATAATCATATAGTGGTTTTGGGACGTTAAACCCCACATATCAGTCAATCAATCACTATATCGCTCCCCTGCACTTACGCGGACTTGCTCACGGCCCAATCTCTCTGAATGAGTCTAGTCATGAGTCAGTTTACCAACCTATGATTATGATAAAGAAAAATGTCTTCAGAGTTGTTATACATTATAGAATAGAATCGCATAAGTTTAATGTGCCTATGCCATAAAAATGGCACCAGGAATCTGCTTATTGAGAATTGGGAATCTGCATTTTGGGAAGTTCTGACCTTGCCCCTTTTGCCTCCCCCTTTCATGACACCTGGCCAAGAGTATTTATTACAGCTGCATTGTGTGCAGCTACCTGTGCAAATTAGTAAATGGCTATATGTTTGTCCTTCCCAGCTCTTTCCTCACATGCCATCTATGCAACAAAGGGATATGAGAGAGAAAATTTCTCTAGCATAAATTGCCCTTTTGTAATACGAGAACACTACTCTTGTCATGAGAAGACTCTTCACAAGTGGGAGAACGCGCAACCATTTATAGGTGACGTTGTTGCCTTGGAAGTTTGCCCCCCCCCCCCCCTGCTCGCTTTGAAATTGTAGAATTCAATGATTTATATTAAGGCGTACATGATTCTCCATCGGTAAAAAATTGGTGCATTGTTTCTAATGGGGCCAGAGGCTCTATGTTCCAACTTTTGTGAAATTTTTCACAGCCAATTATAGCTGAAATATGGACGACAAATAAAACTCAAATTCGCGATGTGCTCATATGCACGTGGAGACTTTGTTGCGAAGTTTGAAAATGAAATGCTGCACTTCATTTTCTCTTCTATTAATAAACACGTGGTGGTGAAATTGACAGCGATTATTATGAAAGAAAATTTTCAGCCTACGTACATTTATTTGTTTTTTCCTAGTGTCCCTATAATAAAGTGTCATTTCAGCCTATAGCATGAAAGGCAGTCTTTTCCAAATCAAACTGTGTTGCATTATGTGTGCAGTGCCAGGGTCTGCCAGTGGTGTACAGCGAATCAGGAGAAGAGTTCGCTGGGGACCGAGGCACAGTTTTCGTCGTCGAAAACTTTGAAGGACCCCTGTTCGAACAATTGAAGCAGCGCTCGCTTGTGCTAGGCCCTCTCGTCCTTCTCCAGTGTGCTGAAAGAAGCATAGTGAGTATTCTGCAGGCAAACTGGTTGTTTTAAAACATTTGCATTTATATTTAGTTCTTGCCCTATGAGTCATTAGCGTGACCCTCTGGGGGTAATTCTGCAAAAGTTTACTAGGTGGGCTGTGTATTTTGGTGCATGCTGACTGGATAGGACTTTGTAGTTTTAGCAACGGTTTACCAGCTCTCAAGCCATAGTCTGTCGCTGCACACTGAAATGGACAGTCCACGGAATAGACACGTGGAATAATGCTCCAGTTACTATAGTCCCTGCTTTTGTCCTTTTCTCTCTGTTTCTGTTTTCTCTCACTCTTTTAACTGGAAATGTATGTCCGTTTCTAATTGCCTCATGATTAACAGTTGCCCTGCAAGCATAGTAGTTCTGGCAAATGTGTACTAACAGTGGTATATTCAAAGCCTCCTACTTCTGAGTGTAGTGCGTTCTACTGGTCTGCCATGAGTATGAGTAGTACAGTCAAGTTTATTTTTGCATCCTATGCGATCCAGCAGTTGTCATTGTATGACCTAGATGGCTCTAGGCACTCGCCTTATCACGTCAGCTGACACATGCATATTTATATGTACCCACTGCAGACTAATAATTAAGAGTCGCCCATTGCGCTGTGATGCAGCTCTCCAACGTAGTCGGGCAGGGCAAGGCAGTGGATATAACACATAGCTGTTATTAAATGAGAAGAAATTGATGATCATGAAAATAGAACATTCCCCATCAGTTGTAGTAATTTGCTGGCTCAGTCATATGCGTTATAACCATTATAATCGCATTGTTCTTCGTTTGTAAGGTGGCTTAAGGTGACACTAATAGCAAATATAAAGTCGACGTTGATTGTTGAACTAGCAGTTCAGAAACCTCGTGGTACTTTCATTCCAAGGAAATTCTTATTTTGGAATAAAATGACATTTTAGTGATCCGCATGCCATTAGTGCACTTAAAACAACTGCCTGAACAGGGCCTTCTAATGTAGCAGTCACCTTGCCTAGCCGCGCCCGCCTTTAGTGTGCCACCACTGCTCAAGTACCAGTAGAGCAAAATTAACGGGAGCCAGAGCAGCGATGACGGCCATCGAAACTTGCCACGATGGACGTCGTGGGTGAAGCTGGCACTGAGACATTGTCTGGCGATGCTGGTGCAGAGACACGAAACCCAGTCATTTTGAATGTAGGGGTTCATTTTGCGGCTCCCATTCGAAAGTCATGTCAGTTTTTTTGCTGGAGCTGAGGTGATGTACGCCATTCGGGCATCCAGCAACATTACATGAACGCAGCATTTTCTTAAACTTTATGTCACAGCGACTTTCGTGAGTGCGCGAAGCACCCGTAGCAGTACAAGTTACCGAAACTATTGTTAAGGTGCGATCGTTGAGTGAAGCGCAGTTCAGCGGAAATGGAACTTCTGACCCACTAGCGCTGTTCTTGGAGTAGTAGCACCAAGCGGTCGTTTTTCTTTTTTGTGAATCACACAGAAATGGACAAGCAGCATTTTACGTGTCATAATGAATGGAAGTTTTCAATTTATTCTTTTTATTGCAACTGGTTTGATTAGTAGTGGTTAATTGTACCTGGGACTCTTGATACCATTGGGATTATTCCAAGATATCCCACTCGTGGCATGTATGGTGTTGTCCATTTACCTTAATTTCTTGATGAGCAGATCACTGCTGTTGATAATATTGTCATTTTAGACGTTCTCAAACATTGATTTTTCACTACGACCTAAATTATTTGCTTTTAGTGTCCCTTTAATTTATACATTGAGCATCCATATTCAGTACAGTGCCGGTAAGCTTTATTTTTTTTACGATGCCCAGTAAGGGGGCACTACAGATAGTGCAATTTTACTTTTTGCATAGGTTTAAGCTAAATTGTTTCGTTTGCAGTGTCTCGGCCAGTAACCACTATTAGCAATGCTGCAGAGCCTGGGAAAGTAGATTTTAGAAAGTGCTGACAGATGAAAGTAAACATTGAGTGATGCTGTCGCTCTACCCCTGCATGTACAAGAGAAACGTCTGGTGTTCAACTACAGGCTATCGCGATAGTTTGCTTGCAATAACCTGTGCATGTTTCAGGGTGCTCCTAAAAGCATGATTGGCATATAGTTGCACACCACTACAGCAAAAGCTTCCGGGTTGTAGAATATTCGAAAAAGCTATTCTCTCTGTGCAAATGTTTCAGCCTGCAGTCAGCATTCCAATCTGTAAAGTCGCCAGCTAGATTAAATGCATTACCTCTGATAGAGCAGAAATTCACATTTGTCGTGGACCCAAAATTTTCAAAACTTTTGCTTTTGGGTGTAATCATTGAGTTCTACCTAACCACGGGTTCAACATAAAAGTGCAAGTGTGGCAAAGTGCTTGAATTGATATGGAAACAAATAGGTCATGTTGGATTCGCACCTCGCACATGAAAATTGTGTCTTTAATTGCTACTATGGTTGCTTTCATTGTATGCTCGCTCGCCAGTTGTGAATGTTCTTTGGTCATTGCAGCCTTTTCCCGACAAGGGCCGGCCCATCTATAACCTTGCCATGGATGGCTTGGTCATCGTCTTTACAGGCTTCAAGTCTCGTTCAGAACTGGTGCGTATCCATAATTTTGAGTTTTTTAGAAACTGTGTAGCCCAGTTTTTAGCAGTCCCATGTTTAACGATACAGTTTAGGTAGTATTTCTGTCGATTAGAGATCGATCTACTTGAACCTTACTGATGAATGATGATGATGGTTCTGATGAATTTCTTTTCATCTTTGTGATTTAAGGGTGTTGTTTTGATCCTGTTCGTCTCCAAATAGTTGGAAAATTTGTTGAAACACATCTCTGGTTATAGGGAACCCCTTTTGCGTCTTACTTGGTGCTGCTGTGGGACAGCAGTGCATAAACAAACAATGGAGGAACACAGACATACCTACAATGCTTGTAACTTTGTCAGTTTACGTGCTGTTTTATGTTCACCATGTGTTCACCATGTGGTGAACACGATTTACAAAGACATGCGACACTATTGAGCACTCCCAGAGGTTTGAGCACTCCCAGCAGTGTGCGATTTATGCGATCTTGAACGGTTTGTAGATACTTTTTCTTTTTTTAAATGTGAGCCATCTTTTTATACTGCTCGAAATTTCGTCTTTCACGATAAAAAATGTTTTTTTTTTTTTCGTAATTTGCTCCAAATATGCATTTTAGTGCTCCAAAAGTAAGATTTTTCTGCTCTGAAAATCGCTCCAAATTTCGTTGTTGCACCCCTGCTTCGTTTTGTTAACAAAAGTGGACATTGATGCGTCAACTACTTTGTACAGTGTGAGCTGCTCCTGCTGTCACACTACATGGGAGCCAGTGTGCGAGACAAGTTCTCCAGCAGGACGGTAACACACTGTGTGGCAGACTGTGTGACCAGTGCCAAGTATGAGGTATGTGGGCTTATTGCTGTTCTAACCATGTTGTCATTACTTCGTATTTGGGCATACAGTCGTAGACGCAGTTCCTTGAAGGGACACTAAAGAGAAACAAGTTTTTTGTGTGTTGGAAAAGTAAAATTCCGCAATCCTGAAAGCGCCACTCTTGCCGCGAGATGGTGCTTGGTAAGCGAGCAAACATGCAAGGGAAAGAAAAAAAGACAGGTGTAGATGCCACCTTGAGATTCTCTGATGGTGTCTGCTAGGTCCTACATAGTTACTAATCCGAAAAAATTAAGTGCATTGTCAACTTTGAAAGCCTTAAACCTAGCATGCAAAGTTTCAGAAAGTTTCGTGGAGCCGGTGTTGCGAAAATACGAGAAATACATTTCGAAATTCGTGACTTCACATGTGGAGATTACAGCGTGCAATTCAAAAATGAATCTTTGACCTTGATTTTCTCTTATAGTTACGATGTTAAAACATATGACATTAGAGTTCTCGGAGTACATTTTATCACAATCTAAATCAAATCATTTTGTCACTTTAGTGACCCTGATCCTATGCACCTGAGACACTTCAGTAGTCTCTTCCTTTCTTCTTTTTTTATTATGCAGTGTCTGTTCCAGTGAGGACTGTGCTACTTGTTTTAGAGTATTAAAATTTGATGGCAAGGGCCAAACAAGAAGGAAAATTTGTTGCGCATCAGAGCACCCCCATTTCGTTTAAATGCCATTTATCATTGGCATCCGTAAATATAGACTGCAAACAGGACATTAATTCAAAGTATCTACTATATTTACTCGCATAATCCTCGCACTTTTTTTGCCGGAAAACTGATGCAAAGCTGGAGGTTGCGAGAATTACGCAGGGAAAACTTTCCACCAAAACCTACAGAGCAAAAAAGAAAACAAAGTGGCCGCGAATCGGGATTCTCACACCAGCAACTTACAGCAAGCTTTAAGAAGTACTAATTAGAACTTACCTCAACAATAAAAGCAGAGGTTCAACACAAGGCAAGATTTATTTGAGACACAACGTGCAAGCAAATAGTCGAGAATTAGAATACCATACGCAAAGCTTGTGGGCGTTGCGTGCGTAACGGTAGCGTTCATAGCTCAACAGGAGCCCTCCAAAGGTAAGCGTAGGACGTCAGTATTGGGCTTATGGCTATTTAACAGAATCGTCCGCAGTTTCCTTCTGAAGAAATAAAGTTTATCATCAATTCCAGTTTTAAGCCCACGGCAGGCCCAACGCGTCTTGCTGGCTTTCAGCTGCCGTCACCAGTAGCGAACACAAAACTCGTAGACTCCGAAAGGCCTACCAGCGGCCCTGTTGCCGCCGTTTAGTGCATGATCTATCACTTGCAACTTGAAGCAGCCGTGTAGCTTCAGTATCGCCCCACAATGTGCCAAGATTACAGACACAGCATACAAAACACGCCGCAACGCGCTCTTGCCGCTTTGGCTTGGCTTGGATTGAATGTAATCTTCGTGCAATAATAGTACGCTTAAGAGATGGCGCACGCTATCATCATCAACGGCTGGGACGAGCAGACGACATTATTGCGGCAATTTTCGGGGGTGTGATAATTACTCGAGGGGGAAAAAAACGCATTTTTGTTGGGCGATGTGGGGGGTGCGAAAATTATGCGAGTGCGAGGATTACGCGAGTTAATGCGGTAGGACAATTTCTATACTATGACGTAGTTTTTATAGGTGTAGGTTTGAATACCGGGTGAACTGTGAAATTTCGAACAAGTGTTCCTTTTTCTTTCTAGGAGAGTTGAAATACTATGCGCCATTGACTGAGCAAGTGCCACCCCCACTTCCCCTGCCGTTTGTTTTCAACCTGTTCTCCACTACAGAATTATAGCTGCAGCAGAGTATTTCTGTGTCAACATAAAGTTCTGGTACAAAAACAACAGTAGTCTGACTGTAGTAAAATCTTTATTAAAATTTGTATTGTGTGATAAAAACAGCTTGTTTGCTGTATACTAGAGGGGAAATAAGTAAACATGTCATGGAAAATTAAAATTGTGGGAGCAATATTGTGTTCTGGATGATCTCGGAAGTAGTGCGTAGCACATTTGTCCAAGTATTTTTCTTATGTCGTTTTCACAGCTGTCTGATGCCCTCGACATTCCCATCATGAAGAAAGAGTGGCTACTTGAAGCATGGGCACACCGCAATGAGAAGGACTTTTCAGTTACTTCAGAGTCCATGGTAAGTGCACAACCGAGGCTTCTTTTTGCCAATCTTTTGTGCCTTTGTGCTTTCAGTCTGCCTAGAAGCCTAAAGTTGAGTGCCAAAAAAGATGAAAAGTTTGCTTATTCATATTGATAAATGAATGCATCAAACAAAAACATTAAAGCTCCTTTTGCACATGCATTTTTCCTCTGTTCAAAAATAGCTACACAGCACATGCAGTTCAGCTGGGGCTTTCGGCAAAGGTTGCTAGCAGGCACCCATCACCATATTCACCTATCGCCAATGAGCGTCTGTTCTCTTGCATTGTCGAGTTGTGTTGGTGCACACACGTGGCACCTTCTCTGCATGCGGTTGCCTTGGGCAGAGTAAGCTTTCTAATTAAGGAAAACGAGAATAGCTCGGGAGTGTCGGTGATAAACGAGCTATAAGAAGCACGAATAAAGATAGAAGCCATCTTCTGCCATCCCTGCAAGAAGTTACTGATATAAAGGTCACGTTTCTTGCTCTTCCATTGCGATAGCGAGGCAAAACTGAAACCACGAAAGGGCGTTGCTCATTGGTGTCGCCGTCGTCTGTGCGGTTCACTGATGCCTGAAGTTAAGGGGGGACGCGGCCCTTGAAAACCGAAAAATCGCGAAAAAGTCGGTTTTTGAAAAACCACATTTTTAGGTTGTATGTCTCATAAACTACCTATTCTGTAATTATCAGCACCTAATTCAACCGCAAAGTGCAAAAAAATACTATTTTCGAGGCCGCCGCAGCGTCCAGAACAGGCGCAAATCCCGAAATCAAACCAAACTTCGCGCGCGCCATTCCCGGACCATGCGGTCGTCCCGCGCCATCTTGGTGTTGTTTTGACCGTGAATTCTTTCTCTCTCGTTCGCCGCCTTGCAAAATGGCGTCGGCAGTACAGTTGAGACGCTATTGGCGTTTTCCCGCGATGTGATGTGGAGCGCTGATTGGCTAGAGCAGCGCATTCATATCTCGCGGGAGAAAGCGTGCCCGCCATTGGCTGCTGTGCAGCAGCGGGGGCGGTCGCTCCTCTCGATGGCGCGTCCAGCGCGCTCGCTTCGTTGTTGCTCTCTGCTCCGTCCGCCTCGACAGACGTCTGCTTACGAGCCGCTCTTCGCCTTGTGCTATCTTTTCGATCATTTTCTCTCGTTTTTTTTTTTCTTTTTGAACTAGTTCTGTGCCTTTCGTCTTTGTTGTTGCGGGCGATGCCGGCAACGAAGCCGAAGTCAGTGCGGAAGTCCGTTGCGCGGAGGCGCGCTATGCGGCTTGTACGATCATCGAAATTCCGCTATTCTGCTGCGGGTGCCGACTGCGTAGACGCTTGCAGCGATGGAACTGTGTTGTCGGCTGTCGCCAGTCGAGAATCCGACACATCGAGTGTGGCTGGAGCCGCAAATGCACCGAGTGTTTCCGAGATCACCGGGCTCGACACGTGCTCCGAATCGATGCCATCCAGTGTGACACCGAGTGCTTCTGATATCGCCGGACCCAGCACTTCGTCTGAATCGGTGCCGCCATCGAGCGTGAGTGGACCGTCGCTTCATCTGCGGACGCGTTTTTTAACGAAGGAAGAAATCGATGGAATGCGAAACGTCGTGACGCTGTTCGCGCTGAACTAGAGTCTACGCCGGCGACGCAGAAGAAATTTCAACTGATGCAGCCGGCTCTTGCACCTGCAGTGACATGTGACGGCGAACATTTTTCGCTCGTTCAAATGAACATTTTTAACGTCGTGCTCAGCCGCACAGTGTGCAAAGAATGTTTGAAAGGTGCTATGACTGTCCGAGAGAGCACCAAGCTTGGACTTGCAACAAAACTTGAAGTCGTGTGCGCCTCTTGTGGCACCGTCGATAAATTATGGACATCACCCCGCAAAAAGGACACGCAGGCCTTCGATGTAAATGTCCGCGCCATAATGGCTATAAAGCAAATAGGCAAGGGGCAAACAGCTCTTAATGACTTTTGGGCTGCCATGAACGTCTCTTACAGAGGTCTTCACCACAAGACGTTTCAAAAGCACTTGAAAGAGACGTTCAGGAAGCCAGAGGCCACCGCTTTGGAGAAGTTTTATGCTGATTATGCCACAGCAGTGATAAAAATATATAAAGAAATGGACCCCAGCTTCTGCAAGGACATCACCGTAGTGTACGATGGCACATGGCATAAGCGGGGTCACACATCGGAGTGGGATCGGTAATTGACTTCTTTACAGGTCTCATCTTGGATGCTGTAGTTCTTTCAAACCACTGCCTTGGATGCCAAACAGGGCCCAAACCTGGAGATGCAGCATACGAAAGCTGGCAGAAGCACCACATTTGCCAGAAAAACACGGACGCAAAATCGGGAAGCATGGAAGGGGAGGCAGGCTTGACTCTCTTTGGGTGGTCTGTATCCAAGCATGGCCTGCGGTACACCACTCTTGTGTCCGACGGAGACAGCCGTACCTTCGCAGCCCTCACAGAAGAGACTGTGTACGGGCTAGTGCCAATTGTAAAAGAAGAATGTCTGAACCATGTTCAGAAAAGGATTGGAAGTGCTCTTCGAAACATTGTGCAGAAAAGTGATAAGCCACTGAGTGGGAAGGGGAAGCTGACTAAAGCCCTCATTGAAAAGCTGACAGGATATTATGGTTGGGCCCTGAGAAACAATTCAACTGACCTAACAGCCATGCAGCGTGCAGTGATGGCAACATATCACCACGTCACATCGACTGACCAGGACCCTCACCATGAACTTTGCCCAGAGGGGGCTCAATCGTGGTGCCGCCATAGAGCTGCAGAGGCAAAGCGTGAGCCACAGCCAAAACATAAACACGGCCTACCGGACTATGTCGCTGCAGCTATGCTGCCCATCTACGAAAGACTGTCACAAAAGTCGCTTCTTCAGCGCTGCCTGGGAGCAAAGACGCAAAATGCATCAGAATCATTCCACTCCATTCTGTGGTCTCTGATGCCAAAGGAACAACACTCATCCTTGATCGCGGTAGAAACAGCACTGCATGAAGCAGTGCTACGCTACAATGCCGGCTGCTGCAAAGCAACGCAAGTGATATCGGACTCCATTGGACTTCAACCAGGTCATCTGGCCATCCAGTGAGCTCGTGAAAAAGACGCTTTACGCCTAAAAAAGAATTCTAAAAGACACCAAGAGAAGATGGAGGCCAGGCAAAAGAAGAAAAGAGTGCGCCAGGACACTTCTAGTTACTGTGCTGGAGCTTTTTGAAGAAAACACGTGTTTTGAACTTTCTCGGCCTGTTTTCTCAGAACGGATTTTTTTGCTAGTTGTGGTGCTGAGGAAAGCAAGAACTCGAAAACTGTTCATCAGATTTGTGTGCCGTTTTTTTTATTCTGTTCCTGTATGACCTTGCAAGAGCGTAACAAGCTCCTTTTTTTGAAAATTGGTGCTGTTAATTTATAATAAACAATTAATCTTTGATGAATCTGGTCATTACTGGTTACATCAAATTCAAGTTGCGTGAAAATTTTAAGGGGGGGGGGGGAATTAAAAAAAACGGCTTTGTAGCGCCCTGGGATAGCCATCAAGGAATGACCACAATGAATTTCAGCTTTCTACTATGTCCTGGGATTTCTCACGACTCTTCCTCAGGCACCCATGTGAAGCACCCAGTTAAACCTCAATAACTCTGGAACTAAGAAACACAGCTTCGTGAAACTTAGCAGTTGTGCTAGTTTTATTGTAGTGAACAACCCCTGAAAGTTTCATCCAGATATCTTAAAAAATAAAAAAGTTCGGTCTCCAGGGTAGCCTCCCCCCTTAATGCTGTACAAGAAGGTAGCACAATTATTTCTAATGCTTTTTGTAAGTCCTAAGAGGTGGCAGCACCTTCCAGTCAGTATGCATCGTTATTACAATGCCGCCATACATGTACATGTTTCATTTGTACAAATACCACTGCTGTACATGTACAAACTGGAAACCATTTCCACGCATGTACGGAAAACCACCATAGTACATGTACTGCAAACCACCATTGTACATGTACGGCAAAAACACTAAAATGAATAAACTGCGGCGCATGGAATCTGACACAAGCTGTTCCAGGTGCCTCCCCACGCCACTTTTCTTCTACTTCTTCTTCTTCTTCCTTTTATTTTTTTTTTTACATTTTACTTCATGGGTGGGTACAGAAAGGGGCCACTTTTTTGTGTGCCGCTGAAGGGCAGTTCTCGAATCGAAAGGAAATGTAGGAGCTTTGTGTGATAGAAAACACACTCAAGCTCTTTCGAGATCTGCGTACGGTCAGCGATAAATGGTGTATATATAAATAGCTCAGCGTTACTACACCGGTTCAAGCATGACATGTGGTTGAGTTGTATAACCCAGCGTGCTGCAAAGCGAGAGGACTCTGGTTCAAATACTCGGTCACGTGTTTCAGATTTTTTTTTCTTTGTGCTTTGGTATATACACACATATATATAGGCGTCAGCAGGGGTGTGTGGAAGGGGCACTTGCCCCTATCAAGGCTAAACCAATGCTCAGGCCCTCCCCCAGCATCGATGCAAGAGGTGTTGCAACCCCCCCCCCCAAACAAAATTTTGACGCCCATATATATATATGTATGCGTGTGTGCACATGCATACGTACGTACATATACAAATCCAAGACATAGCAGTAAGGCAAAAATCTGCCGAGAGTGTCCATATAATTGCTATCACAATAAAAAAAAATTGTAAAGCTAGAAAGTGCCTCTTGTTTTCAGATGAAGCTTCGCCTGGAAGCCTTCAGGAATCTCCAGCTGGCCTTTCTTGGTTTTGCTGATGATGAGCGTCAACACATGGAGGAAGTGGCCCTCGCAAATGGTAAAGTGCTGCTGCCTCATGATACTGCCTCACATTACGAAATGGCAGAGGATTGGCTAACAACATAGAATTGGCTGCATGGGATCCATTGTAAGCATGAACACTACTTGCGGTTTGATAGCGCTACTCATTATGGTAGCTGAACATCTAACTAGACCAGTTAAAGGGCTATTGGATTTCGAGTTAACTGTGAAAATTGTTAAAATAACCATACCTGAAATACTTTTCGGTCTTTATCTGCTGGCATAACAATTTTTCAGCAAAGCTTACAATTACTGCTTATTGTGCCATTACGGGTTGACTGCACAGTGCAAATGCACTCTACAACTGAGGTGATGTCTGGGTTGCAGGTGCTCAGGTGGTTGAGCCAACAGACCCTGGTTGCAATTTCCTCGTCGTTGACGACTCCAATCCTGTGGCACCTGTAGTGCCTTCAGATATCAGCCACAAGGCGCACGTAGTCAAGTCTGAGGTGAGCACAGCATTTAAGGAGGGAATGGCACTTTAAAACTTTTTTTTTTAATTTCTTTGCAAATACTCTTAAAACTTGCTTAGTCAGTGTACGTTAGTGTGCCGATTCCAAATATGCAATTACTTTTCTTGTACACAACATTTTCTAAAATGTAAAAATTGTTTGTGTCTGTTTGAGAGAAAGATTTCTTCTTCTAGACTGACTGAGAGTAAATCAACATATCTCAGTAATACCGGACAGTTTTTTAAAAAATTAACATTCCAAGCTAATTTGAACAAAAGTTGTGTTACGAACTTTCATGAGTGAAATTTCAACAACTTTTGTTCCAATGAGTTTGGAACATCTATTCATTATTGTGAGTGTCGCACTTGTTCGCTCCCTAAGTTTATCAAAAATAATGCTTCCAAGTAGGCATGTAAAATACTCTATTTGTTGAAAACTACATAATCTTTAAATATGGCACCACAAGTCAAGACACCACGAATGCTGTTTTGACTTCTCTCTTGTTTAGGTGTTTGCACACCCAGTCTTTTAAATATGAATAAGTACCAACTAGCTTGGCTCTTTCTTATTCTAGAAGTATCTAAAAATTAACTTCGAGTTTACAGAAAGTGTGGCCTTTTACGTAGTGTTGTTGCACCAAGCATTTTTTCAGTTCTCGTGTAGGAGTTAAACTTCGTTATTTTATGACCAGCGTACGACCACGGAAATGATCTCCGTGGTTGCACTTGCAAATGCTGGGAAAGTCAGCTGAGAACAGGTGTGCTGCAGAATTGCAGCATTTTTTACCCTTTGTGAGCGGCAAAGAGTGTCTCATTTGTAATAGGAGCGAAAAATGGCATTACGCAGTTGGACTTTTTTGCAGATGCTTTGTACTGAGATCTTTCTTTTCGCTCGCTCTCTCTTTTTCAATCTGCAGTGGTTTTGGGCGAGTATTCAACATGCCCGGTGTTTCATGGCTGGAGGGTACTATTATGAGCACGTGAGTTCACATTTTTGTCGTGTGGTGTTACGCCCATGCATGAGCATTCTCGCTGACAGTAATCTGCTGTTCTTTTTACCTTGTCATGAAGATACTGATGTTTCTTCAATAGTCGACTCTCGGTAATTAGAACTTGAAGGCACCCCTGGATTTTGTTTTAATTCTGGTATGTAAGACTGGGAAAGCTCACTCCATGCAAAGATTAAGCATTGATTTTAATCATATTTAAAATTTTTTCAAGTGTCTTTAAACCCTAACTACACAAAATAAACGAAAAACCGAAATGTAAGGTCCACAAGTTTATTGCCTATTTACTGATGACCAGACCAGAAATTGTGAATGGTTAGCTGCTTCTTTGCTACGTGTGCCTTCAACACAAAGCTCTCTATGCCAGTAAGTAGAGCTGGTTCACTCTTAGAGTTTTCTGTTGCTGTCAAACATTTTTTAACCTGAGCTATGTAGCGGAAGGCACTTGAGCCAAAAGACAGCAGAAGCCTTTTCAATCAGGAACAAAGCTGCTTGCGTCATTCTGCAACTCGTGTTTGGCTTTCAGAATGGTTGTCAGAGTGCTCTTGATGATACCATGTTGCAGTGCCACTTCAGTCTTTCTTACTCCAGCATCGACTTGTTGATTCATAGCCAATTTCTCTTTAAAGGTAGCGTTCGATGCTTCCTTTGCAATGACATGGGGGATCAAAAAATGTGTGGTGTAGTTACAGCACTGTGATGGACGAAATCCAGGTCACTTGCTATGGCCTTTGCCAGCACGCCGGAAAAATAGAAATAGCCGAATGTCGTGCATGTTGCTTTCATACTTGCTGTGTCGTTTTACGCTTGAGGCACTTATTTTTCGTTTTTCTGCTCTTATGATTATATAAGCATGTGAATTTTCAAAATCGCAGGAAAGCAGTAGATACTTTCTGGTAAGGACATGCAAAAAGCACAAAGTAACGAAATGACCGAGTTTGCATTAGGTGGCTTTTTAAACACATTGCAAGAATAGTGGGCCAACCAAAAATATGAATTTTGTTAAATTAATAGAAAGTACGAATTATCAGACTTTGAATTATCACAAGACTGCTGTACTTTTACAAGATTGCGTATTTCTGTCGCCATTTTGGTTCGATAAGCTTTCAGGCCGACGTCATGTCGTGGCCAGAGGTAGCAATTCTATGCTTATTTTTACTCTTAGTTGCGAACAAGCCAGTTTTTTTTTTTATTGTGGGTATATGTGCATGCGTGTTGAATGACCACAATGCACTTTGGCAAGAGGATCAAATATTTTTTGCAACAAACACTTCGAGAGTGATGCTAGGACAAGCAAAAGAAGTTGCAGCTTATACGTGCATTGATGGCTTTGCTAGCTGTAGGTGCTCAAAAACTAATCCCTTGGCGCCAGCATGGTGTGGTCCATCGTCACTGTGCATCAGTCGAAGAGCACAATGTGTGCGATGTGGATGTTGTGCCATGGCCACTGGCAAGACATGCACACATGTGACCACATCTTGTACCTTGAGCCACTGATTTTTCAGAGTTGGTCACACCAAGTGTCATGCTGCAGGCTCCTGTGGCAGCTGCAACTCCATTGCGGTCCTCAACTGGTGCCCCGCGTTCGGAGAGCAAGCGGCGCAAACTGCGCGAGAGTCTTGCCCAGCAGCTGGCCCAGGAAGCTGAGCAGAGTGTGCTTGTAGACCCCTTCTCTCCGGAGAGCCCCCGGCACCGCCGGCGGGTTTCAGCCAACAAGTCTATCACAATTCTTGACATCACCCTCTCTCCTGACAAGCAACTCTCCACAGGTGAGGAACCATTGATAGCCAGCTCACCTATCAGAAAGTAAATGAAGTTGCTGTAAAGCAACTGGAGTATCTGGTAACATTAAATTGAAGGGACTCTAAATCCAGCCTTTGTTAACTGGAATATAGGATTCATTTACTGTGCATGTCTCAGTCATTTGCTCTTTTTGTTAGTATTTTTGGCTGACATGTTTTTATGGTCAGGTTGGAAGTAAATAGAGGAGTGATATAAGCACAGATAAGAGTTTCGGCTGACTACCTCTCTCCTGCTTTTCATGGTTCCAATATATCTTAAATCCTGTACTGTCTTGATGAAACTTGCAGAGTTTATTTCTGTATGCTGGCTTGAAATAAGAAATTACTGTTGTAGTACAGTAGGTATATTTTAAAATGTCGAATATTTCATGTGCCTTTTGGGAAGCAACCATTTTTTTAACTGAGTGTGTTACGAGACAAACCAGCAGATCTCGGTAATCTGAAGTGAACCTCATGCAATCAAACAGTAACGGATGCTGTGAGCAACTTGACATAACTTTTGCTCAAATTGGTTTAGAACATTCATTCTTGCTTTGCCTTTGGAAACCATTGTTTGAGAGCATATCTTAGCAGTAGTCGGTTTTTGAAGACCTTTTGGTGTTTCATTGCACACTGCAGTTCTTGACACAGAAGGCCAAGAAAACAAAGAGCCATCTGACCTGACCCGCATGTCCAAACGGCAGCAGGTCTGTTTGGAGCTACTGCAGACCGAGACCAACTACGTTGCCATTCTGCACTCCATTCTCACGGTATGGCAATTACACTCTGCATTAGCTGTGATCTTTTTCAGGACTGTTTGATCAATGGCTTTTAGTGACCTGAATCAGCACAGAAATAGCAAGATGCCATAGCCAAATGCTCTGTTATTGTCTTGTGTCACTGAATATCTTGTGCCTGAACTATTGTACCGAAAAAATTTTTACGTTTCACTTTATTGGAAAGTAAAAAGTAATGGCTGCGAGTGGGAGTTGGACCTGGCAAACTCGCGTTCAGAAACACTGTGTCCTACTCCCCGCATTGGCTGTGGTCTCTCTCGGGACTGTTTGATTAGTGGCTTTTAGTAATCTCACTCAGCACAGAAGATGCAAGGTGCCGTAGCCAAATACTCTATTATTGTCTAGTATCACTGAATTTGCTTAGACCCGAAGCATTGTACAGAAAAAATTTCTACGTTTCACTCAATTGAAAAGTAAAAAGTAGCGGCTGGGAGCGGGAGTTGGACCTGGCTGCCTCACGTTCAACAACACTGTGCCCTACTCCCCTAATTTGCCTTGAGGCTAAACCTGGAAAGGCGACGTGTGGTTCACTGAGGCTACGCTCACTGAAGCAGTGATACTGATAAAAATGGTTACCTGCAGCATATCGGCACATGTGCCTAACTTTCTAGAGTACAGCTGGTATCGCAAGTAGCACCTGCGCTAAATCCAGTTCCGCACTATCACCAAGTTATACATATATATTTTAAAGTCTGGCATGAATGCCAATGGAGTAGCCGGAAATAAGTGGAAATGTTGATGACCCATTTTTTTTTCTCGACACAATATTGATGAGAATGAACAGACAATAATGCTCAGGAAAGTATACGGGGATCAGGGAAAGTAGACAGCCACTTGAGTCAAATTCAACTGGTTTTATCAATTGTGTTCAAATGGGTAAGAAATTGAAACACTCGTGCAATTCATTGTAGCTTACAGCTGATTAAAACTAGTCTGATGCCCTTGGTCAATCATACTTGTTGATTGCAGCTGTTCAAGGCCCCCCTGGAGGACCCAAGCAGTATGCCAGGGGAGCCGCTGCTGGATCCTGCTGAGGTGCGACTAATTTTTGGCCACCTTCCTCCCATCTACGAGGTGCACCGCAGCCTACAGCTCCAGCTGCAGGCAATGCTGCGCACCTGGACTGACGATCACTCGATAGGCGAAGCAGTGTTGAAGCACCGCGAGGCGTTTGAGAAGGCCTACCCACCCTTCGTCAACTCCTTCGAACGAGCCAAGGAAACCCTCTCCCAGTGTGATCGGCAGCGGCCTAGGTTTCACGCCTTCCTCAAGGTATGTGGCTTTTTTACATGTACAGGCAAATCTCAAGATAATCTATTGCCCTGATCAGACTGTTGTTGGAATCTGCGCTGGAACTAAGTGCTGTAAAAAAACTAAACGGAACCCTTGGATAAGCAGAGAAATAATCAAACTGAAGCGTAGAATAAGCCGCCAGAGACTCAAAGTAACAAAAAACCGCGCGAAGATAACTGAATTGTCTGCACAACTGCGTTCCATGATTACAGAAGCCAAAAATAGATATTACAAAGAAACACTGACAGAGTTCATGATAAAGTCTTCTGATAAATTTTGGCGTCACATGTCGAAAAAAGATAACGAGTCACTTAGCATTGTTGTGGATAACACAGTGGTTACTGATCCTGCAGTAATCACTTCTTCTTACAACGAATTCTTTCAGTCTGTGTTTTCTACTCCGTCACAGTCCGGTGTCGAATCCGCCCCCTCTCCATTGCTTCGCTCAAAAAATGCCAGATGTTGAAGTCTCTTATGAGGGAATTGTGGTCCAACTACTGAATATTGACGTAAAAAAGTCAGTAGGCCCTGATGAAATACCGAATGCGTTTCTGTACAGGTATGTGGAATGGGTTGCTCATTACTTAAAGATTATATTTGACACATCACTCGCAGATTGCTGAATCCCTGATGATTGGCTTACGGCAAAGGTTATACCTATGCACAAATCTGGTGATAAGCAATTCATTGAAAACTATCGTCCAATATCGCTGACCTGCGTTTGCTGCAAGCTCCTAGAACACATTGTAGCGAAGTCAATTTACGCGTATATTGACAATGACTACATATTTTTTCCCAACCAGCATGGATTCCGACAGCGCCTTTCCACAGCAACACAGCTTCTTGAAACAATTAATGACTTTGCCATGACGTTAAACAAAAAGAAACAGATAGATGCCATTTATCTTGATCTGTCGAAAGCATTCGACAGAGTGCTACATGCAGAACTGCTTCTGAAACTGGCAGTTATGGGAATAAACGAACAAATAGTAAAATGGATAACCGCGTACCTTCGAGGCAGAACGCAGTACGTAGAAGTAGAACACATTAAATCAAAACCGTTGAACGTGACGTCAGGTGTTTCCCAAGGGTCTGTGTTAGGCCCAGTGCTATTCCTAGTCTTTAATAATGGTATCACCTCTGAAATTGACGAAAGGATCACTGTCCGGCTTTTCGCTGATGATTGTCTATTGTACAAAGAAATTGATAGCCTGGTTGATCAGGAGTTACTCAGTGACGCTCTTAGGACAGTAGAAGAATGGTGCGACAAATGGAAAATGGAAATAAATGAGAATAAAACTGTTTTATTGCGCGTAACAAACAAAGTAAACATCTTCTACTTTAATTACTCAGTGAATTCCTTGGTGCTTTCTACGGTTGACATGCTGAAATACTTAGGCGTAAATATATCCACAAATTTAAGCTGGTCTTACCATGTTGGCAAAATATGCGAAACTGCGGAAAAGAAGCTTGGTTCTTGCGACGGAAACTGCAATTAGCCTCACAGTCAGTAAAACTAACAGCTTATTTGACCTTCGTTCGGCCCACGCTAGAGTATGCCAGTATAATCTGGGACCCTCATCAGTCAGGGTTAATTCATAGACTGAAAAGAGTTCAACGATGAGCAGCAAGGTTTATTCTAGCGCGATACTCTCGCACAGATTCCGTCACCGAAATGCTCGGTTTGCTAAACTTGCCCACGCTTGCGGAACGCAGGCGCATAGCAAGACTAAAGTTTTTTTACCTTCTCTCTAAAAACAAATTCAACATCAATAGCAGTCAGTACTTGATAGCACGACAAGGTAGAGCATTGCGAAGAATCAAAGATGATACTTTCGAAATACCTCAGATGCACATTAACATTTACGCATTTTCTTTCTTCCCAAGAACCATTAAAGAATCGAATCAATTGCCACTACAAACGCGAGAAAGTAATAGTGTAGAACAGTTTGAAAATAACCTAGTAGGTCATTAAAGACGTACGCCTTTACACATGCTGTCTATTTAGTGGTTGTTCGAGTTCAGTTGTTGCATTGTGTTGTTAGCTTTGTATTGTTTGATCGGTGTATGTACGGATTATTTCACATGTACTGCTGTGTGTTTTTGTACGGTTAATGGTCGGTTATATTTTCTAACATCGCTTGTTAACTGTGCATTTATGATGTCGTATAATTTGATCATGTATACAGGAACTATTTCGCTTATGTACGCTTATGTTTTCTTGTGTGTGGTATCTTATGTACGGTTTCTTATGTAGTATGGTTTCTTTTTTTTATGTACGCTTGTTTTTTTCTTATGTATTATGGATTCTTATTTTTTCTCTCCTCAAGTCACACGATCTTGACCATGCAAATATCCCGCTTTGACCCACCCTGTAACGGCCGACAGGCCAACAGTATGAGTAAATAAAAATAAAATTAAAAACAAAAACAAAATTCAATTCATACAATTATCTTGCAGTCATCCTGTACAGTGTACAATCACATGCAATGCTTGTTTATACAGTCAGATTGATTTTCTTGACCTGGCAAGGACCGCAAAAGACAGTTGAACCTAGATATAACAAAATTGGCAAACTCCTAAAAAAATGTGTTATAAACAGGTTTTTGTTGTATGCAGTTTCAGTGCGAAAATTTGAAGAAAAGCACAAATTAAACAAAAAAGAAACGAAGGCAGAGCTCACCCAAAACATTTATTTAGCAGTAAAAACTGTCTTATTATTGTGACAGCAATTAGAGTATCTCCCTTTCTGACTCAAATTTTTTCTAGGGATGAAAAAAATTTCAATGTCTTTCTATTCGAGAGGTCATTGAAGAGCCTGCAAAAAATGGAGACTAAATAGAAGGCATTTTACAGGAGAACCACCATATACTGCACATTGGGATTAAGGGGGCAGACTGCTTTTAGACATTTTTTATTTCTTCGGTAATCTTGATCAAACTGCACAGAATTATACAGTTTTCTCTGCTGATTTCAAATGTTTATTAGTTTTTCTGTAGCTCATCTTATTCCTGAGATAACTTAAGTTCTTCCCCCTATTGTTTAAGGCCGCCATAAAAAAAAGTGCTTAATTAAAAGTGATATTTAAAATATCCTAACATAGACTAATGACTATAGATTGAAATAGTGCAAGAGTTTTTTTTTGTTTTTAAGCTTTTCTTATTATTTTACAGCAAAATGAACTATCCATCTTCAAAAGCAGTTGGTACTGTATTAAAATTTTGATGAGTAATTAATTAAAAAGGCTTGTTCTCTAAACTCTGCTCTCGTACTTGCACCCTACACACATACAGGTTTCCATTGCAAAAAGAATTATTGTTGTACCTGCCCTAGCTGCAGAGATATTGAGGCCTCAAAATTGAACAGTTGTAAATTTACTTTTTTGAGAAAAATGGAAAAAACTGAAAACACGCAGCTTCTTCAAAAAGCAACAATCATGGTGTGCATGTTTTGCAATCCTCATAAAAGTGCTCATAAATTCATAGCAGAGATTCTAACACAGGTGCCGGCAAATTATAAAGAGGCGTCGAAGTTGGTTCCCCATTTTCTTGCGTGTTCTGCATGCTAACAGCACCAAGAATCTGGACAGTTAGAATGACATTATAAAAAAATTACCACTTCCTGCTGTGTAAAAATTTGCAGAGAGATAGCAAAATACTTGCAGATACCAAATATGTCAATTTTAAAAAATGATTTTTTTTTTGTCACTTTTTGGTCCCAAAGAGCAGTCTGCCCCCTTAATTTGTTTCACACATATTCTGCTATCTTCCTTGAAAGAGTGTTGCTTATAGCCATGAGAAGGTTAATCGTCTTAAAAAACACAGAAACTGTTTATTTTGACCCAAGAAAAAGTTTGTCGTGGTTAGCTTTCGCACGTAGCGTTCAGCACTACAAGGGGGAGGTGCACCTAGCATCCACAAGTCAACCTCATTAGACGCCGCTCCCTCCTCATGTTCCATGCACTTAATAGATTCCCGGCATGCCCATTTCATTTTTTACAAGTGTTACAATTCTTTGGGCAAGTTGTTGGTCGATTTTTTGGCAACAGTGCAGCAAGCGACAAGGGATAGGAAGAAACGCAGACGAGCGCTGAACTTACAATTGAGTTCCTTTTTGAAACAAAACAATGTAAAGAAAAACGACACGTGAAAAAAAGATCGCAAACCAATATTTGCAAAAAGCCAAAATGAGGGATCAGCCGACGTCACTTTCCGCTATCGTGCGTGCGGGACAAATAGTGAAGTTCTTTTTCTGTCAAGGCAATGGATGGTATACTCGCACAGCTATTGCCAAGTCTCCCAATTTATGCTGCATCAATTACTATCTTGCGTGTTAATTGGGAACCATATTTGAATGTGGTTCTCATCAACTGGCAGTACACGGTGATGGCTCGATTGAATATTATGTAGAACACAAGCGGCACAATTTGCATTAATATCTGTTTGTTCCAACAAAGAAGAGGCCAATGGGGGCTCTGCCTTGGGGATGGCAGCTGGTCCTTTTCTCAACACCAACATTGTAAATATAGGCACAATAAATTTTTACACGAGTGCAAATACTATGACATGAAGATAGTTCCTGTTCATATAATGGCACAAAGGCGCCAACATTTGAACATGGCCATGCAATGGTCATTTTCCTGCATGGTTCGAAGAATACAGTCTCTCCATTCTGTAGCATGGTGAGTCATGTGTGCACTGTCTAATCAACACACTCCTAGATGTTTTTCTTATTGGCATGGCTGAGCTGGGCAAAGCAAGAGCACATTTCCAGACAGCTAAAAGAGCCCCCACTAGTGGCTAATGTACTGGTCTAGTGGCTAATGTACTCGGCTGCTGACCCGCAGGTCGCAGGATCAAATCCTGGGTGCAGCGGTTGCATTTTCGATGGAGGCGAAAATGCTGTAGACTTGTGTGCCCAGATTTGGGTGCACGTTAAAGAGCTCCAGGTGGTCGAAATTTCCGGAGCCCTCTACTACC